TCTCCCAACTACCTGCCCCCATCGATTAATTAAACTGATTAATGATATTTGCTGTCAGAGGAGACTCATGAAAGGGAGATGAGGGAGCAGCTGTCCCTCTGCCTCTCCCTCATCGCATCACTGCATGGGAATGGGGTTGGGGCTGGGTAAAGTGCCTGCAGCCCATATCCAGCTCCCCATGCAGTCTGGCTTGTAGCCTGATTCAGCCCAGCTCCAGCCCCATGTCCAGCCTGGTTCAAGACATACCTGCAGCCCCGGGGCACAAGGGCCCAGCCTGGCTCTGGGGTGTGCAGTCTGCAGGCACTGCTAGGTGCCTCGCTGCTTAATCTTTCATGGATCCTTTCACAAACTGCCCGTTGTCTTCTAAACAAAAGATAATGAGAGAAGGGAGACTCTCATCCTTGTCTTCACCGCCAGAAAAGCAAGATGCCACACTCTGAAGTTAAAAGCCAGCTGAGGCAGGAGCTGAACCACCATGGAGTGACTTTGTCCCAGCACAGACTTACCAGAGAACATCCTCAGCCAGACCAGTGTCTGGTCCAGCATTCAGCTCCAGTCAGGCTTTGTCATCCTGTATTTTGAATACCTGTTTTTCTTGTCTGCTCTCTATGTGAAGCCCTCAGGGGTCTTTGCTGCATGGGCTCCTTTCCGGGCTGCAGCCAGATGTCAGATACACTGTAGATGAGTGCCTGGAAGTCAAGATTTTGAAAGATGTATGTTAACCCCAGAACAAACCACTGTACTTTTATGTTCCGCTCTGAGTGAGAGACCAGAACTGGATGTTTGTTTTTAGCGAAGCCTTGTGCTCACTGCCTTCTACCTTGAAGATCAGGGGATAACATAGCAAAGTTGAATGCAGCGCCCACCCCAGCTGCAGTGCTGGACCCGTGCTGCAGGTCCTGCACAGCCATTGTTTTGTTCATTGTAGACTTGTGAAGGAAGCTTCAGTGTGAGCAAGCACTTGTCTCCAGCTCCACCATCACCCTTTTTTGCCTGCCTGCCAGGTATTACTCTCAGCCCCAATACAGTCCACCAGGAAGAAGCTGGTAGCTTTACTGTTCAGCCCCCCACACACAAGGAAAGGCCTTCAAGTATGCAGTGCAGGTTATAACCTGATTTCTCTGCTTCTTTATCCCTCTTTTGGTCAACAACAGAGCATTCAGGGATCTGCCACTGTTCAAGGCACAGAGAAAAGTAGATGAGAGCAGGGGTATGGAGCAGCTGCCCCAGCCTGGGCTTGGGGTGGCAGCCAGGGAGGTCAGCATTCTGCTAACAGGAGGCTTTATTACACATAACTAACCTTCCTCTAAGGAGAATGGATTGCTCTGAAGGTACAAGAACTATTAGAGGTTTCTGTGTCTATAGAATTATATAAAGAGTTCAGCTGAGCTGAGATGCATCTGAGTGGGTTTCCTTGTTTATTTGTCTGTCTGCCTGGGGAGGGGGGGCCTTTTATTTAATTTTATTCCTTTTTTTGATGACCAACTTCTGAACATTTGCTGCACTACAATCCAAATCAGAAATCCAAATCAGATCCTCAGCCAGGAGGGACTCGGCTGTATAGTGACCATGGGATTTCACATCTGGGATTTCTCACAATGAAGCAGATTAGCTTTCTCAAGATTTTGCTTCTCTCCACCTGCCCCCAGCACTGCACCAAACCCAGAGGGAGGGAAAAGCTGACACTGCGAGCCAGGAGCAGAAGAAAAATGGGAGCACTAGGAAAGCACAAGAAGAGGTGAAATGTTACAAGCAGGAGATAGGAGCTGCTGACAAAGTTCTTCATTCTGTTGCCGTTCTGCTACAATCCAGATCATGCCAACATATTCCACTGTGTGTGAGATCGCCATCAAAGTAGCTGAATTCTTTCTACTAAAAATATTTTGTGCATTTGATGGGAATTAGATGCTTTATATTACTTATATTCATAGGGATCTTGAGTCACATATCACCAATCATGTTTCAGTCAACAACAGCCAGGAGCTTTTTCTTCCTACATGAACGACTGCTGAGAGCTGAGTGTCCATTGCCACAGACCCTGTGGAAGAGGGCTGAGCTATTGCAAATTATTAGAAACTGACTGCATAGAGGGTACAAGTATTAGTTGTCTTTAGCTGTACTTCGAGTCTTCTGTATCTTCTCATTTCCACCACAAGACAGAGGGGGCCAGCTGACAGATATCGTAGTACAGTAAATAAGCATCTCATTTTCATTATCCTGGTTCATTACCATCATGCTGAGAATGTGAGCAAACGTGGAGCAGTACAACAGATGGGTCCAAACAGCCCGCGGTTCCTCCACACAGAGATCTGCAACTCTGCTCTCTAGTAGCACCGACGCATTGCTCTACCCCATCGAGTTTATAGGTGCATGTATTTTTTTTTTCCTTTTAAAATAAGGACCCACAGAAGCTCCACCCAGTAACTGTGATGCATCTCTGTGCAACTTGAGGAATGCTGTCAGTACCTCCCCTCGGGGTACATCTTGAAAGCCAAAGCCACCGAAGCAGCCTGGAAGGCTATCACATGCCTGGCAATGCTTATTTCTAACAGCATATTCCATGCAATAAGGGAGTAGGTTTGCAAGAGAAAAAAATCAGCTTGGAAGATTTGACAGATCACAAACTACTGGATTTGAGCTTTTCAGAGAATGTGCATCCCAGTCCTGTAAGGGTGAGACTGTGGTCACAGGCAGGATGTGAGGAGCATTTACAGTCAGGATTGCTTTCTTCTGTGACAACTCACCACTCACACAGGAAGCACTGCAAGCCTTTTCTCACTTAGGGAAACTTCTATTTCCATAGCAGCCACCCATTTTTTCCAAGAACTGATTTAAATACAGGTATCCTATCTTAGTTAATCACCTTTAGTGTTCAGCCCAATACGTTAATGGTTAATTTGAATATGAAAAGGTATCTGCTATTAGACATCAATGATGCCACAAGGGCTGTCATTCTGTGTAAGGTGATCTCTCTCCTCATCACGTCCTTCAACAGCAGCGACTTACAGCTCTAAGGCACATAGAGCTGTGATTTCTTTAAAACAAACACATAACATCTTTTATCCCCAGCTCCTATCTAAAGCAGAGAAGCAAAATGATTAAGCTTATTCGCTCCGGTTTAATGATACTTTTGACACAAGCTGAAGGAGTGTGATGATGGCATTCCCACGCTGTCTACGCATAGTACCGATCTACTTATGGGAAACAGTGCTTTCCACCTAGACTGGATGCAGGTGCTGTACTTCCAGCTCTGTACAGCACAAACATGATAAAACACAATACAAACTGATGAAACTAGCACTCCTTCACCCAGGAGCCAAACATAAATAGCATGGGAGATGTCTGGATATCGGAGACAGTGTGGCTTGAAAACATTGCACTCTCCATCACACTTCTATTTAGAAGATGCTGACCACATGCACAAGGAGTTTGGCCACATCATTCACCCAACTTCTACCATAGGAAGCAATACAAACCGCTTGTGCCAGATTGTGGCATAGAGAGGTCCTGTAAGCCCCTGAGAACTGCAGCAGCTCCACAGAAGGCAGCTGGGTAAGAGCTGGAGCCTCTTCCGCAGGAGGAAAATTGTGCAGAGCTGTAATGACAAGGTTTATTCACTCAGCTCGTGCTTGTCCCTATCTACTAAGAATATATCAAGGAAAGGGTAAGCATATGTAACTACCGTTCCTTACTGAAGCTGTGCAACAGAAGGTGCTTCTCCCACAAAGCATTACTCAGTAGACTAGGTCACAACTGCTTGGTCAGTACTGCAGGACAGAACCTTCCGTGTTGTCAAGCATAAATGACATCAAATGATAGCCTTAATAAACTTCACCTTATGCCCGTATCTTAGCTTTGCACATGCAAACTCAGAAGTTATTTTGACCAAATACGTAAAGCAGTGTTTCTCTTAACGGCTGCCATCAGCTGCAGGCTTTCCATTACAGCCTTGGGCTGGCCTGCACAGCAGCTGTTGGGAGCATGATCTTGCACTCTATATGCTAAACTTTCAATTAGAGCTACAGAAGAACCAAGGTGAACCACTGGGTTTTTCCTTAGTCAGTACTTATTCAAATCCCATGGCGAAATGCAGCTTTCTGGGTACTAGCACAAAGCAACATCTTCTCCGAGTTTTGTTACGTAGGTTGACTTAATTCTACTTTGTTGCAAAACTTCTGTGTACCATCAGAGCCCTAGAACTGGAAACTGGCAGGAGGAAGTACTTCCTGTGCAATCAGCTGTCTTTCAAGGCCCGCACACACTGCTTCACCAGGCTGCTTTCTTTCATAAACACCACCAGCACTATCAGTCAGATAAATGGCGCTCCTAAATCCATTGAACACCGACCCTAAAGAAAAGTTCTCTGGGAGAACACAGGCTCATTTTATTGAGAACTTTCAATTGCAGTTTAGGGATAAACCGTAACAGATAAACACTGAGCAGCAGCAGTAAGATACACATTTCTCCATGTGTGTTCTATCAAATCTTTTAAAAATATGTGGGTGTCTGTTTCTTTTAATTACTCATAAATAGTTCCTGGCACTGACACTCAGAAATAGTTACAATTGCTTCATACGCTTACCCTTAAAATTATGAGAAATGTTTTTGGTGGCATTCTGTGACAACCAGGATGCGATGCTTCTTGCTGCAAGAGCTTGGTAGTTCCATTGCTGTTGCTGTGCCAACACCAACACTGAGCCAGCCGCATGGCAAGTTATTTCAGGGGGCACAACTTGCCAGAAACCCAAACAAAGTTAATAGCGTTTCCTCTCCTTAAACCATCTCACCATGATTCCAAGTGCCAAAGCTGTCGGGGACAACCCGGACTGCCCACTCTGCTTAGCCATCTCACACCACTGCATGCCACTTCTCAGGGAAGGCAAAGTCCCCAGGCAAGCTGATAAATGCTGACTTTACTAACCATTCAGCAGTATCGCGTCCTGCTTAACCTGTCTACCAAGCTGATGGGAGACGCACAGCAGACAACAAGAAAGTACATCTCAGTGGAATTTACTTTTATTGAAAGGAAAGAAAAGTTTACATGTAGTTACAGGTTTTCCATCCATGCTTTCAAAAGGACTGGAAACAAAACTTCATCATTATTGCAATACCAAAAGTCTGTTTGTTGTTAAGTGAACAGCAAATTATATAACTAATTGCTATGTTCAATAAATAGTTGTTTTCTCCTGCACTTATTAAGGGGAAATATTTAACCAAGCACAATAAAAAAAAAATCCCAGGAGTTCTATGGTTTTAACTCCAAATATTTTCCACTGTTCAGCTATCCAGAAATTTATCTATAAAACGCAGCCTTAATTTTCAGTGTACAAGGATGTTTTCCAAGTCAGTCAAATACCCATTTTTTTCTCTAGCTCAAATATTCTACATTCAAAGCAACTACCTGACCAAAAAACAAAACAAAACAAAAAAAAACCAACCAAAATCCTCTGGTTCATCACTACCTAAATAAATTTGTCTTTACAGTAAAGGCTCGAAGTTGTTACTTGTTTATCAAAGTAAAATGTTTGCCTTTTAAGACAAGGATCAACGAGTTACTTGGAAATGCAGGTTTATATCAAAGTATCTGTGTGTGCATTACGTATGACATGCAAGCTTTAAAAATATCACCGCTCTCTTGATTAGCCAGGAGTCCAATTGTTTTAAAAACAAAATAGGAATGACTTCCAAAATGTATCAACACTTTGGGTTTTCTATTTAACTTTTCTTAAGATGTTATACTACACAAAAACTACAATTACGATATTTAAGAGTATTACATAAGGAGGGATGGAAAACAGGAATACTTCAACGGAAGATATGTATATTCTAAATGAACCCAAGTTTTCTAAAATAGCTGGATGGAGGTCAAGGAAGGGAGGGGAAGGAGGGAAAACAGTAGGGAAGCTAAGATCTAAACTTTTTATTTAAAAATCAAGTCCTCAGCTGTTCGTTCTTCTGATCTTCAGTAGCGCCCTGGAAAGAAACAAAAGACAACATCGTTACTATGAACTAAGAGCACACACAGACTCCAGCATTGCAGAGCCCAGGTTTTTTTGCATTCACGTTCAGAACTCTCACTGACCAGTTAGTACTGTAACAGGTGTCACACCAGCCCGATTCTATTTATTCATTCCTGTTTACTTACTTGGACTATAGGAACGGGATCTTGACCGTGACCGGTACCTGCTATAGTAAGGCGACGGTGATCGTCTCCTTTAAAGGAAATTAAAAAGAAAGCAAACAATCATAATGAAAGAGGCCTCATTCACATCACTTCTACAGAATATTATCATTTCCTTAGCACTGAAAACCTTGGCCTGCATGAATGACTCCAGCTTGATCTGGCTGCGGCTTACAGTTATTTAACAAATGCTTTTGTATTTCTCTATCTGACGTGTTTAAAACCTGATGTATCTCTACAGCACATTTAATAAACTCTCACTAGCTCTGTAAACACCTAAGTGCTTTTACAGATGCCTACCATTCTTGTTGTACAACATTCTCTGAAACTAGATAACTTTCAGAATGGTCAGATAGCTGTAAAATGTCAAGCATTAAAAACCCCATCTACAAATAACTCCTTCTTCAGCAGCACTGTTTGTCAGCTGTTCCTGGTTCTACATACAGTACGGAAGAGTTCCCTTTTATTCCTGTCTGCTACAGTTGGAGGGCATACGTTCTACACCTTCTCCAGCTAGCAAAATTAACCTCTCACACAACCCATTAACAAGTAACTGCACTACAGAAACACTGAAGATTACAAGCACTTCAATCTTGTATTACAAAATCTACTGTAAGGCGGCTCTCAACAAAGCAAGCACACATGAGGAATCTTGTACAAATGGAGTAACATTTCTACCATCTAAAACTGAGAAATTTGTTTTCTTCCAACATTTTTTTTCTTTTTTTCTTTTTTTACAGAAATACAACCATTACTTACCTGTATCTGTAGTCATACTCTTCGTATCTGTCATACCCTCTGTCATACCCCCTATCATAGTAAGAGTCACGGCGTCGACCTGCTCCACCACCACCACCTCCTCCACTGCTGTTAGGAAAAAATAAGAAGGAATTCAGGTTATAGTCTCATCAAATTAAATCATTCAAAAACATTTTTCAGTATTGTAAATCAGACACTGAAGACTGAGCCCTTAAACAATCTAATAATTAAGCACGTAAACACCTTCCAAACAAATAACCCTTAACACCTACTCCCCTCCCAAAAAAGGCAAAATACCATCAAGACTTTCAGCCTAGATCTCATTAGAACTGAAGGCACATAGGCACCCTGGTATTTCATAAAGCTAAGGGTGTGTTAGCTGAATGTGCTGGATGAAATTTTTTTAAAAATAACACACTTTTTTTTTTAGATAAAAACCACAGAAGGACTTAAATCTGAATCGCAGTAACACACTTTACATTAATACCTTTGTGCAGAAAAACGTTTAATTCTAAAATGTAAAAATAAAATAGGCAGTCTGCAGCACAGTTTCCTCAACCAGACTTCAGTCTTCCCATTTAAATCAATTTTAGTCCCACCACAGGAAATGAGGACTCCTTACTGCGTTGGCCTGCCCATGTAGATGCCTGGGGTGGGTGTATGCGCTCTCTTGGTGATGGAGTAATCCACCCGAATCCTCCTGCCATCCAGCTCCATTCCGTTTGCATGCTCCATTGCCTGCGGGAAAGAGAAGGAATGAGGACAGGAAACCTTCGACCTCCTATGGAAAGCTAGGCACAAACCACACTGATTTCTGCCAGACCCAGACCAACAAGCCCCAAGCCGGCTCCACTTAGGCTGGCTACTAGTGCCCCATTGTGGTGGCTCGGCCCCAGCCCCCGGCCCGCTTGCCGGCAGCGCTTTCAGGGCTGCATCGAGGCGCCGAGTGCCGTGGCAGGCAATCAATCCCTTTTTAAGAAAGCACAGGACCATCCACTAGCACAATCGCTTCCCTTGTAGTAGACTTTGCCTTCTACCCATCAAAAAGGTAAACAAAGTCAAAACGGCTTTTCCTGAAAACCACATCTTTCCTACCATCGGCTCCGACCCAGAGGGGATGGGCGGATTCAAAGGCTGTGCAAAACAGTGGCTTCCTGTAGGGTGCATATGGCCGGATTACTGCTAGTCGGCTGCCATTTCATGCTCTCCCAGCCTCCTGCCATCTCCCTTACAAGGACCTACTCCAGCTTAGTAAAATGGCGGGTTCAGCCTACATGGATACCTAATTACAACCTTCCTCCCCACCCGCTCTCACAATAGCGGCCAGCCAAAGCCATACGCACAGGGGGCTGCGCCTGAGAAGCCCGCGCCTTCAGAGCTGCTCACAGCCGTGCACGCGCTCACTGGGGGTCCTACCCCGCTCCTTTCAGCTTTGAATCAATACAACGGCCTTTCGCAAACCCAAATCATGCAAGCAGTTTTTCCAAAGGACCACAGCAAACTTATGAGAATTATACACAGGGAATGCTACCTTGAAAAAAATAATTTCACAAATAACTGATGGTGGATTTAATCGTTATTAAAATTTTCAAAGGACATTTTTGGTGTTTGCACTTTCCATCTACCACTGCCCTAAGATCTCCAAAATACTACTTTACAAGGCAGCTTGTCCTATATGTATTATTTTCATTTTTGGGACAGATGTATCTTACAATCTTGAGTTTAACTCAAGATTTTTTTTAATATTATTTACCTGAGACACAATTCACACCCCCAGCTCATGAACACGCCTCTGAGCAGAGCAGCTTTTCCCTTTTTCTAAAACCAAAAAAGGGTATAACAGCTGCTCAGAAATTCACTTCTTACCAGTTCCGTGACAGGAACCTTGCTGAATTCACATCTAATCTACGTAGAGGAGGAAACAAAACTAACACCCACATGAGTTCACTTTGTGGCTCCAAACTGGAAGTGACCGAGCTATCTATCACTAGCCTATTTATCCCCACTTATTGTGCTTTAAGAGCTCTGTTCATACCTGTGCTATATCGCCACCTAGTGACGCCTGTTCCTACACAGCAACATCACACCTAGGCTAACTGCTCGGCTGAGCCAGACCATGTCACATCTCAACATACACTACTATGTTTTCTGAACAAAGCATGTTCATTAACTTCAGCTTCCCAGCCTGTAATTTTTTAGATCTTGCTGCACAAGGATGAAATGAAAATAATTCTGTGCATGCATACTGTGACTTATTACAAATCCAAAACAATGCTGCAAACAAGCTGGTGGAAATACTAACTTTTATGATTAAAAGCATCTTTCTGGAAATTTGGCAATACACAACGCATCCTAAAAAGAAAGGAATTTCCTGCTTCGTGGCACTTTCATGTCCGATCCCCAACATGCAGTGAGCTGACAGACAGCCACCTGAAACCCAGATCATTTGGCACTAGGTTCATTTAGAACAAATGAAACAACAGAAGAACAAACACTTCTTAGAGGAAAAAAAAAACCAACCCAACAGTTCTTTGACATAGGGAGCGGTGCAGAGAAGAGCAAGGTAACAGCAAGACAGCCAACAAGTTACTTTTGATAACAAAATCTGATGGTTCATCTTCAAAGTACTGAGATGCATTACATTTCAACAGATGATGACTAGCTGATAGCTCCCAGTCTGCATGGAACCCAGAAGCCTCAGTCACAATATCTGATGTCTTTCTCAATGGTAAAACTTCCACTATATTTGCTTTTAACAGCTGTTAGCAATAACTGATAACTATAAAATTTAAGTTAGCCAAAATGTTAATAGATACATAGGCATGTGAAGCCTTCCATGGTTATCTTCATCCTCAAGCTGCAAGAAAGCAACAATACTGATACCACCACTCAGTTCAGTCCCTCATGACTGCAGCTCGCACACCGTAACGCCCCGAAGCCAAGCACAAACTAGCGAATGAGTGCAGCACTTCCACCAGTATTTTAAAACCACCTCAGACATGCGGCACCACATGTTTGTTTTGAACACAGACTGGAATCTTACATGTAACTGACAATTACTCACATTTTCATTTTCTCCTCAAACTAAGAGCACCTTATAACCAAATGTGGGATTTTACAGTTTTGTTAGAGTAGCGTGTTTCATTCCAAACAAATCTCTGCTCGCTTCTCCTGCTGCTTTTGTACGTGCACAAACGCTAAGAGCATCTGGATGTCCAAGTGAAAAGACATTGCACACTTGGGCCAACAATTAAGAAGCATTCTCAAATGCTGTCTAGAAATCGGAAGTATATTTTTCAGATCATCAAATAAAACATGCTGAAGAAAAAAAAAATCGTATTATATTGGGATTTAGAGGCTTATAATACCCTCTCAGGAGCCTTTAACTGACAAATCTATTTTTATTCCACAGCCTGGGTTTTCTTCCAAATATCTAAGCACTGTTAAAAGACTGGCACAGCTTTTGCAAGACGACAGTAAGCAAGCAAGCAGCTGGGATTCACATGAACATACACTAGCAGCTTTGGCTGCAAAACGCACTGATGTCATACACCACATTCTGTACCTGTACATGGAGGGTCAGAAACAGAGTAAGACTTGGCAGTGACACAGGTAGGAACACAATCTCAGATTACAGTTTTAAACCTAGAACAATGTACCCTTAATAATAAAAGTCTTTTGAATTAGTACTGGTAAGGCGTTAATTAGTCAAGATGAGCAGTTCCCTAACTACTGGGTCAGACCTCCATCGGCTACAAACAGAAAACTTTAAATTCAACAGATTTTAACTCATCCAATGCGTATTACAGTACTTGGCATTTTGTAAATGTCCAAGTGCTTACAGAAAGTAGTCTGAATATATTTAAATAGCCAAACACAAACAATTTGTTACAACTCATTTTATAAGAAATCTACTTTGAGGATCTAAACATCCTATTTTCTTTATGAAACCAAATCCTTCCTATGTCGTACTTAGCATCAACAGTAATAAGATCACCTCTACTGAATTGCAGGTGAAGCACGGGACGAACAGACATCATCGCTGCTTTTTGTTTTTAAATATAATCAAAATACTGGTAATTACTTCCCTCCCCACCCCAGTTTCTGAGCTTTAACATCTATTGATTACACGGATTCTTTTTAAAGCAAACCTTAGAGCTGTAGTGTAAAGACAAACAAGATTTTAGAGAATCAGAATGAGTAACTGGGTATGCTTCTCTAACTATTAGCAATGGTCTCCAGAAGCCTGTAATTCCAGGCTTACCCAATTTCAATTCCAAACATGGGAGACATTCTCATGCTCTTTTCTGGTTTACCGAGAGTCCTCTTGATGCCGAAAACATCACTTAAGGCAGTGGGAGAAGTTTTGATCAATAACAACTCTTCTAAATTGCTCTGCCTGCACCACAGAATGTCTTGCGCAAACGAACAAAGAAACACACAGAAACATGGAAATATTACAGTCTCAGGCAACAAATTATGTCAGAGGTTCAGTTGTCTGTGTCAGGGTCGTCTTAACTGTCAATCCACACTACTTCAGAAAAGTGTTCTGAAACATGGTCAAAACTGTAAATGGCATGTAAGTAGCATGAGAAACTGAATATTCCATACTGCCAACAGCTGTTGTAGTTAATGCTTCACAGATGAGTTCCTTGTACAGACACAGCATTCACAGTAGTCTCAGTTTTAACAACTACTGGTTGATTGTGTGACAAGTGACTGAAAAGCCTGAATGAAATCCCTAGTAAATGTAGAACCACCTCCATACAACTCCGAGCCTTTTACTTGTGATCCTGTTATTACTGACCCCAAGACAATCAATCTGCCTCAAAAGGTGGTGGTTGTTTTTTTTCCCATTCTACTACACAGCTTGCAACACAGTGTGTACTTCTTCTGTAAGAGGAAGAAACAAAAATCCTAAACTACTACCATGGTGGACACGCGAATAACTCAGCTAAAACACTGCATTAACTGTTCAGTGCTAGTGTTACAAAACAAAGTATGTCAGTCTTCAGAAAGAGGTCTTCCACAGAAGATAACAAGTCTGGCTCTTCACACAGCAATGCTGTACTCCTCATGTGTGGCTCTGAAGTCTTAGCAGAAGGATGATAACTTAAGACAAGACTTTGCAACACACAGGGCAAAAACAACACCAAATACTACTTCTCTTGCTTTCAAGAAACCAAAATGTAATTTCATAAAAAAGCAAGACACGGTTACGCTTCCACCAGCTCAATATCTGAGGTGATTTTTAAGGAAGTTTACTAGTGTCAGCAAAGATCCCAGCAGGATTTCAGCTGCAAGAGAACCCACGCAATACCACAGCTGACCAAACTGCAAAGTTTAAAGACAACTACTCACAACTCTTTGGGTGTCCTATCTGAAATCAACACTGTTTCAAAGCACACCAACTAAAAGGCTTTCTCGAGCATCCCTCTGGGAAGGGTAGAAGATGATGTGAAATCTCAGTGATTACCCCCTCTTGCCAGGGTTTTTCTAAACCTATTTAATCCATCTATGACTGTTTTAAAAAAGACAGGAGTTCCACTTCACTTCTTACCTGGAGCTTTACACTGCCTATACTCAGAGGCTTGGTTTATTTTATTGTTTCTTTAAAGAGGAAACGTATTTACATGAAACAGAAGCAGCTCAAGTAACATTACTTTTAGCATACCCAGCTTTTCACATCTGACCCATCTTCCCCAAGGATTTATATCACTCCTCTTAGTCCTCCTCCAGGGCCTGTCAGTTTCATGCCTATAGCTGTATCCTGTTTTCCTACTTCAAATCTGCCTTCATGGTCTGTGAAATTAAGTCAAATGAAGCCATCTTTTCTCCCCAGTGAGCTGATGTAGAGAGGAGGAGGGATGAAAAAAGTCCCACCACTTGGAACAAAGTGGAGATGGGAAACATTTGGTAATATTCCCATTTAGTTTAGTTCCTTCTTACAGTGCTCATCTTTATTACATTTTTGCTTCTGTATGTAATATCCCATCTTTTTTGCTCTGCATTCCAATTTTGTACCTTCTGCCAAAGCAGCTTCATACTAAACAAATTACTTCATGGTATTTACACGGAACATTTTAAAAAATGTATGATGTCATGCATGACCATTGCCAATGACAACTAGAAAAAAAGTACTTCTAAAGACACGAAGTTTTAAAACAGACAAAACCGGCACATGAATGCCACAAAACAACATGCAAGTGTTTTGGATACTGACTGCACTACAGAACAGTCATAGCTTCAGAATCCTACCAGTCTGCAAACAAACACAAGACTAAGAAGTAGAACCAAAGAGACCACTAAATATGAACAGACAGCAATCCAGCCCATTAACTCCTCTCTTAACCTTTCAAGGTGATACTGGGGAAACAAAGGGAAGCTGAAGGAAGCTTCCAGCTCTTTTTACTTGCTCCTCTCCTATAACCTACAACAATCATACAAATACAACTTCTATCCTTGTCATAAACTGGCTCTCTGTAAGTCTTGTTTCATCACCTTCTACAGCTGCTTGCTCTATCACAATTGCTTGTAGAATCATACCAGAAATGAGTTAAAGTTCAAAAATGCATCTAGCCCAACTAAGTTATTCATGACTTTCAGTACCATAATTCCCATCAGCAGTTTTCATTTTTAAGTTACTGACAGTAGGTCCACAGCTGTCATCCTCCCACCCTGCAGCGCTAAGTGAGAGAAGTCATACCCAAACATCATGAATACGAATACTTTTACCTAGTGAAAACAGAATCAAACTGCTTATCTGAAACGTCTGCCCATGATTGTTTATGCACAAACGTGTTACGTCTGTCCATAAGAAAGAAAAGATATCCTCATGAGGAAGGTATGACATTCAAGTGCACTGTTACTAAAAAGGAGTGTATGATAAAATACCTTGGGTAACTGAAATACAGACACTTCTTTATTTTGTCAGAACAAACAGAATACATCTATTTGTTTAACAGCAAACTCATGAAATCTTAGTAAATTCGTAAGGCTTGCTGCACCCTTACACAGGTTAAAAAAAAAAAAACCGAATGTAGTGAACCATAATACAGACTGCAGTTCAGATTCTTTGATTGCTTCCTTACACATCAATTACACTAATGGACACTTAGTCCAGACACGCACAGCTATTTTCTAACTAGCCACTAACTCAAGACACAAACACTCTCAAATGCACAACACACTTCCAAAGAGAATGGTGAATAAAGTATTCAGAATTTTGATACAGAAAGTTATTTTCAAGAGTTAGTTTTCAAAAAATTTGAAAAATCCTATGATTCTTCTGTGCCTGTCTGAAGATTTTCATCTTGAAGTAACAGATTAAGAAATCAAATTGCCACTTTTGTTAGTGATTCAATACAAACAACAGTCAGCCTCAAACTTCACTTGAGCTTCTGAACATCGAACTGGTGTTGTTAATCTGTTTAGAAGTGCCACACAGTTTGAAGAAAGCATTTGAAATGAATCTCAGAGAACTTCTGTAGTGAACACACACAACTTTTTACAAAGATACTTGTGAAGACAATACACAAACAGCACGCTGATTAAGTAGCAAATGTTGAATTTACCTCTTTAGAATCATCAATTCTCTCAAAATAAACAAAAGCAAATCCTCTCGATCGTCCAGTCCGTTGGTCATAAACAACATTGACACCAGTCAAAGGTCCATAACGAGAGAAGACTTCACGCAAATCTCTCTCAGTGGTGTATAAACTGAGACCAAACACTCCAAGACATGTATTTGGATCCGGATTAGCCTGGTAAGATAAGAGGTTAACACCAGCTAAGTTAATAAAAAACAAGTCATGCATTTACACGTATACATTTCTCAACATTTTATGAAGTATAGCTCATTATACATTTTAATACTTCAAGAGTTAACATTCCAATCTTAAGATACTTTCAAAATGTAACTAATTTCCTGATATTTATTTTAGAAAACACAAGGGTAAATTTCTCAAGTTTCTGAAGTGTGCCATCAGTACCACATGAGGTATTACAACTACAGAAAAGAGGCAGCAAACAGGAAACTGTTTTACTAATATTTTTCACTTGAATCATCAACAAGATGCAGTCAGGATATTTAAGGGTGCTAAAAATGGGCCAGTCATCCCAAAGTCCCTCCCATCTTTAACATTCCCACACCGTCACCAATGATGCCACACTGCCAAACGCTGGACGCTGCCTCTACTTTCATACAATAAATACACTTGAGCTTGTCAGCACAAACAGCTGAACTTTAACTCACCTTTTACCAGAACTGGGTACTTCCTTCCCACCTCAACACTTCCCCTTCAGATATAGTGAAGGTTAGTATTTAAATTGAAAATTTTCTCTCTGCCCCATAAAGCTGGATCAAAATCACCAACTTAACTACACAGAAACAAATACTAGTTCTACCAAACTAATTCAGAAGCATGTGCACTTGTTTAGAACAAGACTCCAGACTCCTTTAACATGATGCAAGAGATTGAACTATTTGTATAATTCAACTAAAGTAAGTCAAACATGGAATTGTACAATTGCTCAAGGTAATGCAATTCATTTTTTTTATTAGGTTCAAAGTTTCCCTACTTGCCTCAAGAGTTAAGCCAACCCCTAAGGGGCTACCTTTATCAACATAAGTGGAGTGTTTTTTGTTAGCTTTTTTCCTTTCCAGTCAAGTTCCTGACACCTGCTACGCTAGAATACTCTAAAATAACAGCATAATAATAACAGGCAGAGGGATTTCATTTTTTCCTGCTGAAATACTAATGGGAAGTTAACAGCTGAAATTTCTGTTTCAGTTTCAGATTTTCAGAGCCACTGGTGCACAGTAATATGCCTCAGAGCTTCCTCTTCATTGTGACTTGAAGAATGAAGAGGCCTTGCTCTTCTCACATGCTCTTTTATGAACTCTACTCCGTAGTTCTGGATACCAAGATGACAGTTTTTAGATGACAATTTTGAAGTAAAGCCTTCAATTTCAAAACTTCCATAACAAAGGAAATTTCTGCTTTAAAGCACAGACAGAAGGCAAGTTGAGACTAAAGGCTGAGCCAAGGTATTGCATGGTCTCTACCTTAAACTTAAAAAAATAACTAAACCAAAATTTTGGAGTATGCACATAGGTACCTGGGTTTTAATCTGCAACATGCAGATTTTGAAATAAAGAGCTCTGGGAGTCAGCATGCAAAACATAAAGACAAACACGCCTATGACCTGTATGCTCCAAGTTTACTCTACAAGACTCTGCTTAAGGCTTAAACTCCTTTTCTGGAGAACCATAGCATTAGTTCACTAGCTGTGACTGAGATAAGCACATCTTTATATGCAGGAGGTAAAAAGCATCTGGATAGTATTTTTCCATGTAGAAAATAGGGGCATCATACGCAGTTATTTTCACAAGCATTTTGAAGAACATTACAAGCTCTGCTCACCTGCTTTCATCTAAGCATGTTCAACTAGCCCATCAGTTTCTTCTATCAGGAGATCTGCAACCTAGCTTAGCTCTTGTTGCAAGAATCCAATTTAACTCAACTCTCTTTTAAAAGGATTCTCCCTCACCATAAAGAGAAAAGACTGAACAGAGAAAAAATTTTCACACACAAAGGTCAGTAAACAAACCGTATTCCAAGCCACTCACTATTAAGAGTGGAGCACAGGTTCAGCCAAAGGCTTCTCATCAAGGAAGAGGTCTGGATGAGGCAGCAGCTAAGCATTTCCTGAGCACTGCGACAGCACAACTCTCACTTTTCTTAAACAGGAGCACGCTTCCCCCCCAAAAAAACCCACAGCTGACAAACTCTCCTCATCTTCTACCAAGACACAGAAGAGGGATGAAGAATGTGATTTACCTACACTTCCATCCTACCTTTCCTTATTTTTGCAATGCTACATTTCAAATTGGTGTGGATTTTTCCACTTTCAGAGTTTGTGTTCAGGAGCCCATTGTAAAAAACAGTGGACAAAATTCTTGCCTATTTGCTTTTTCCATTTGCCAAATTTCCAGCTTTTAGAACATGAACTTCATACAACTCATCACATTAAATGGCACAACAAAAACTGGCAGTCTGCCACTTTGAAGTTTCAATTAGAGAGGTTTACATTTCTTTTTTATTCCTCTTCATTTAAGGCTATTTAATAATTCAGTGGCATTAGCATCCACTGACGAAGTGCAGTGAGAACTCACAGTCTTTTAAAACATTGCGTAGACAAGTCCCTGCACACGGTGCTCCTCAGTATTGCTCTCTTATACATCCCCACTCAAAATTAAACCTAATTACCTTTTCCGAGACAAGAGAACCAGTCTGTGCAACCTAAGCAACAAGAGATAGTTACATCATCCATCACTAGATGGATTTCAGTGGTGGAGGACAAAAAGACAGCTTTAATATCAAGTTTTTGTACTGCCTCCACAGACCCAGGTCAGCAGAAGTGGCAAAATTGTCACCAATTTCTCTGGTGTCTGTAGGACCTTGCATTTAGAGAATTCAAATCTGGTTTATTTTGCTTTGACATTACTAGAACTATTGTTCAGAATTAGTGTGGAATTCATTTTGAAAAGGAGTTTCATGTTTCACAGTCACTGAGTCATTTCCAAGAAAAAAAAAAACCTCCCAGAATTTATTCAGAGCAAAACATCCTAGTATTTCTAAAAGTAATAAAGTAGATTCATTTGTCTTTCACCAGGAAATCTGCTATGCCTTTTGAAGTTCAGTTATTCCTTCCAACTTTTCAAGACATTAGATTCATATTTACTACATCATGATTAAACACCAGCAACAATTCACAAACAGCTTAACTACAAATGCTGCTTCACAGCAGCTTAAGACACTGTACATTAATTAGCACTGGTGTAGTCTTGCTGCCTTCCACACACTCATTTCTCTCTCACATTGGTATTATCTGGTCCTAGTGAGCAGCTTCACCATAAGCAGAACTAATTCATAAATACATTCAGAGAAACTAAACTACATCAAAGCTGAAAGTATCACAGCCCTCACCAAGGAAGAAGTGTGCAGCAACGTTTATTTTGATCAGCTTGAAGCAATGCAAAAACCTAAGGTGCTGAAGAAGGAATGACTTTGGGGGAGATCTCTCAGAATGACATACAAGAAGTATCCTGCATCTTAGTTTGTTTACCTACGCTTTCTATTCTGTCCACAGAAAGACTATTTATTTCCCATTTGAATTCTCAGAGGCCTACCGGTCCTTTGCATAACTTCTTCTCTAGCTTATTAAGATTTACATATTAGCTAACAGTGCACAGGTATATTCAAGTTAAACCCAATTCATTTATTTAGAGGTATAAAATCACAAGCAACCTTCAACATTGTAAACTATGTTATGAACAAGAACACTTCAGAAGCCTGTTCCTTTGTTTCGCTGGTCCATCTTGTAGGTATCTGTTTTGTTTTGTTTCATTGTAACCAGAGAAGACCTTATTTTGTGAACGAGGTATATGCTGGCAACAAAATAAAAAAAAAAACTCCAAAGGTAGAGCAGAGGGAAGTAGACATTAACAATCTGCTTACACTGAATGCAGTGCTACGGTTCTTAGCATCTGCCCCATTACTTGCACAAGCAGTAAGGCCAGTGGAAAGACTTTGCTGTTTCCAACCCCTTCTTTCACTCAAAACCCAATTCCCCTATCTTCCACTGACACGACAGTAAATCACACTCAGCCTGCAGTTAACTTGATCACACCGTTGTTAAAGCAGCCACCGTTTTGTTAATACTCAGCCTTGAACACGACATACCCTGCTGCCTGTGTGCCTTCTTCTGTTGGACATTGGAGAGTGACTACGGCTCCTTCGACGACGATATTCTGGCGTGTACGATCTGCTTCGAGAACGTCTCCTATGGGAATGAGAATGGGAATGGGATCTGGAGCGAGTGTAACGTCTGTGCGAGTGTCTCCTGGACCTGGATCTTCAACAAAGATAAAGGTTTTGGTTACATCATATGCACACAAGCATATAGAATTGTGAGCTTTGCTCTTCCCAGAGAAAAACCTCAAATTCATTTTTCTGAGGCTCGCTACAATTAAAATAGTTGTTTGAGCTGAAAAATATTTTAAGATGCATTTAAAGAAGACAGGCATGCAGTCCTCCCTGTACTCAGAGGGATCTCTCTGTTTTACCACTTCCTTAAAAGGGAGAGCTATAGAACTTTGCCTGCACAGGTACACACTGACAGGGAGATGAAGAGATTTAAAAATGAATTTAAATCTTAAAACCCAGGAAAATAAAGAAGCTACCCATCCTCAACTTTAGCCGTAGCTTTCAGATTTTGTTTTTATAAAGACTCAGCATTTCAGTGAAGAAATGTCAAGAACTGTCCCCAAGCAATTATCCTTCAACATTTCCAATAGCTCCAATACAGAGCTAACCCTTATCTAACACAGGCTACTTTTGCTGTGGTTTTCAGTTGAGTCTTCCTTCGTACCTGCACAAAGGGACCACACACAAGACCCTCTCCATGAAGATTTTTGAGGAAAGAGACCATTAGATTTTGAGTAAGTGAACTGTAACCTCTTCTCCCTTCTCAGGAATAGTTAAATCGCTTTATTTTAGGGGCGACTTCTACACAGCTATTCCAATTTACATTACTTCCTCTTTACATACACATGCTTTATTACTTATGGAATCTTCCCCCAGCCTTTGCCACCAAAATGCAAATTAACACGGCCCTCTTAACACCCTCTAAAATATAACTTTTACAGGAGAAAAAAAATCTCAGTAATGTAACGAATGAATGAACAAAAGCAATAACTCTGAATGAACCTGAACTACTTCCCAGACATACCTCGATTTTGATCTTGACCTAGAGTGTGATTCAGAATGTTTGGAAGCTCTCGATGGACTGCGAGATCCTGACCTGCTCTCCGATTTTACACGAGCAGGACTCCCAGCTGGAGATTTTGACTGGGAGCGAGACTCCTAACAAAAAGAACAGTATTACAAATGGTATTGGTTGTATAAATGCCTAACTCCTAACATTTAAAGTACAGTAATTCTATTATATTGATTGCTCCTGAAAAACAAATGGTTAGGGAATACCCTCCAGAACAAATTTCATTTTGCTAGCCCACTGTTAATATTGTATGCTTTCCTCAAATAGATCCCTGCTCGAACCAGATCACCAGTTCTCTATTAACTAAGTAATCATGCAAATTCATCTACAACTTGATCATACAGACACTGGAACATAAACCATACATTTACTTAACCTAGGACCCATTCATTCTTCCAGATTCTTTTAATTCTACTTCACTCTTGCTTTCTACTTTTCTTCATTCTTCATTGAGTTTTTCATTTTTCATACTTCGTGTATTCTTCCCCAATTCAAACAATTCATTATAGCCTTAAAAAAACATTCAAGTGCTTCTATCTGACCAATCTTCTGTTCAATTTTTTCCCCCATTCAATTTTAATTTTCTGATCTTTAATACTTTTCATTAGCCTTCTTTTATCTTGATTTATCTTCCACATTCTTGGAAAAAACTCTTCAATTTCTTCACGAACATTAACCTTAATGGAAAAAGAACATTTAGTATATTTAAGCACGTGGGGATTATAAAACTCTGCTGGAGTTCAGATGTTATCTACCAAATTGAAAAGCCAGCAGGTAAAGTGCAAGAAACTACTTTATAAAACAACTTTTTTTAAAAAAGCTTTAAAACTGTATAAGTGTCTATGGTCTAACAATAAGCTTACTGGGTTCTCAGTGTTTTACTGTATTTTCAAAGCTACCCTCCTCCCCTTTCAAACTTGTTATTCTTTGTAAGATACACAAATGAACTAAACGACTACTTAGCACAAATATATTAAAATATTGACACGGCAACTGAATTTCCCCCCTGAAAAAGCAACTGTGTTTTCTCAGCATTCAATATCCCAAATTCTACTCCTACACATTATTACTAAGACACTCTCAGTTCAATAGAATGGCCAACAATTTCCAGTCAAAATCTATCTCTGCACATACTTACTCGCACAGTACATGCACATAGATATACGCAAGACAAAATTTTCTTCCTACTTTCTCTTCCTCATTGTTATCCTGTTTTTCTTGCATACAACTTAATCCACAAAAACAAAAAGACATAATACAGCAGTTCAAAGCAATCCAATGAAATATACAACTTTCTTGTTTTCTTGTATGATAGTGCACACGAGAAAAACTAAGAAAACAAGTAAACAAAGAGCAGGTTAGGATTTCCTCACATTCCTTTAGTATGCAGCATTTCTAGGGAGCCCAGCAACAAGAATGAACTATGGAAATACTACACATATAATCTGTATGTATCTATAATATCTACATTATCACAAAAAATTGTGCAGAACTCTTAACAGAAAAAAGCATAGCAAGTTCCCCTCCCACAAGTGACATTTCACTCTTATTTTCACCATTTCCCCTCCTGCTTGTCCACAGAACGTATTTCTCAATTTATCACTCTACGTAAATTCAGATTTGTATTTCCTTTCACAGTTAGCACTCTGAACCCAACCCCTTTTTCAAAGGGCTCCTTCCTCGCATTTCTAGACAATAAAAATGCGCAAAATGGAACTTGAAAGATCCCTTACTAACAAGCATTACAGCTACGCTACCTGTTGCCCTTCACCTCAATGAAAAGGGCAAGGGATATATGGAGAACGTCACTTACTGGGATGACAGGCATGTTAAACTTATCAGCAAGGGCTACATTGAAAGCCTGGCTGTGACATGAGAACCACAGCATTAGAGGTTTCCCTTATTAAACCAGCCTACTGCTGATCTAGCTACAAGGCTGTCACAGAAATAGGAGGAAGGATGCACACTTTGATATCACTGAATTTTGATGTTTATATTTTTACATCTAAAATTGACTCTTCACAAAAAAAAAAAAAAAAAAAAAAAAAAAGCATCTATACACACATTATCCTTTAAAGGCACTAATGTGATTTTTTTAAGTACCTCTCCTCAATTCTTCCCTTTACACTTAATCCCCAGCAGCAGCTCTTTTTCTCTGGCAGTTACTTCCACCCGTCCCCCTTCTCCCCCCAGTAAGAGTAATCAGCAATACAGAAAAGCATTTAATGCATCACTGTCAAGATTTAAATAAGAACTTCCAATAAAAAAAGCAAAGAAGTGAGGAAATTATATTGCCCACTCTTATTACATTTGGAAGACCACTTCTTGAACAATAATAATGATACAAACAACAAAAAGAACAGCAGCAGCAAAAAGAAAAAAGAAAAAAGTAACGTCACAGTTCTGTTGGGAGGTACCAAAAGTATTGAGGACCTGGTAATTCCCATACATGAAAAAGTTAGCTTAGCATCCTTATCTATTCACCTGCAGCATCTTCTGACACCACCCACAGCTTTTTCTAATAGCACCGGTTATGACAGTGAGTCCATACGCAGCTGCCGAGAGCAAATATTACGTTATTCCATGTAGGCCACGTTCATTCAGAGCTCGTTGCTTAAGCCCTTCAGAGGCTGCATTTGCAAGCATATAACCTTAGAAGTGGAGCAACAGAGGTGACAGCGTAAGTCTGTATACATTTCAAACTTCCTCAACTTTACTGTAGATGTAACTGCAGCTAAAGAGAGATTACCTGTTAGCAGTTGCATAGTGTGTGTGGCATTGGCAGGCAATTACATCTCATCTTCCGATGCAAACTGATCACCTAGTTTTATCTCCTACAGTGCTCTTCAACAGGAGGGACTAAGAGAATCATAATAAGCTGCAAGAGTTTAAGGACTTAAGGAAGTCACTGAAAAAGCACCTAATAAGATTTATATTAGCAAGACTACAGGTAGGGATTAAGAGATTCAGAGCTTCAAAGTGTCACAAAGTGAGATTTTAAGGAACTTTCCTCCTCTGTTTCCCCACAAGGAAATAATCAAGGTAACTCTTAGTCTGTGTCAGATAGATCCAACAGTCCTGCATTAACAATTTATGCCCACTGCAGTATCAAAAAGAATGCTATGTTTAATTTTTTTCTTATTATGTCATCTTTAACAAGAGCAAATAGACACCTCTATTATCCAAAGCATTCCAATCCCTTACTATTCTTCAAGCAATTTACACACTCTGATCTTTGCTCCATATTTACCCAGAAATGAATTTGACTACTGACAAGAGAACAAGCTACACTTTCTGCATCCTCAACATTTACTTCTCTTTCTGCTCTGAAGATCCTCAGCCACCTGAAGGCCATAGATTAGACTGCACTTTTTTCAACTCAGCTTCTCACCCCACCACCACCTCACGAGTGACAGCAGGCATCTTCTGCTTTGTTGTGCAGCTACCAGTCACTGCTCTAACCCTCACAAACTCGCAAGGCAGATACTCACTGTCACTATTTCCAAGTATCTAGATTTGCTGTCACTACAGCCTGTGGGAGACTGACTGTCTATATTCTTCAGATCAAGTTTCCCTTTCAGAGGGAAAACACGTGCAAGTAACACTTTTTCCCATGGCAAAATGGAAAAAAAAAAAAGTGTGCTCCTCAGAACGTCCCATTGCAATACCCTCAGCATATGGGGGAAGTGGGATTAATGATTCATAAAGAACTGGAACCAGGAGCCAAATAAATTGCTGTAGGGGAATGCAATCTAAGGACTGCAGCTTCAGCAACTGATTCTCTGGATGACAACTCCAAAGCCAACGAGTATTTTCCATTCTTCACACCCTCTTTCTTCCAGAAAGACCAAAGTGAAACCAAGCGGTACGGACAGGAAAAGTCCTTTCCTATCATTACCTAACAATTGCATATATCTAGGCACTGAGTAATTCACCGACAGCTCCCCACCAGCCAGCTGAGCAAGACGTCAGAGCATTTCATCCACACTGTACAACTGTATCAACAGATCCCAGGTACATCTGTCTCTCATTTGTCTTCCTCACATCCTTCAGCAGAAATGCTGCTTTCAAATATAGGTATTCCTTGAAGAAAAAAAAAGTTATTCAAAACAGTTCTACAGTGAGCGGAACTGCCAAAGTCTTCACAAAATACTTTTAGGTTTCCAGCTGCCATCAGAGGGTATGATAAAAGACAGTGAGACAACAAAAATAGCTCTCTTAAGCCACTTCTCACCCTCACTGTGTCATGTCTTACCTCACCCCAGGTGCTACCATTTCAGGGTACGACAGAACAGGATTATCACGAGGCTATCAAAATCTACAGTGAGACTAAATAAAAAGAGCTGATGAAGCTTATGCTAGGCTTTCTGCTAACAAAATATGGAAAGTAAAATAGGAAGAAAAAAAACAATCATGAAATCACACTAATTTCAGCTGTGCTTCATTCAACCTTAGGAAGTACCCACAGCACACCAGGGATGGAAGCACACAGCACCAGTAGCCCAGCAACACCACTGAACGAGCAAAACAAAAGCTCAGACTTCATAAAAATCTTGCTAGAAAACTCCTGCCCAAATGCCAAAAAATAAATGAAGTCCAACTTTATCAGGAAACAGAAAAGTATAAGTGGTCAGAAAAGCAGCAAATTTAATATCATCCGACATGCACTGGATGAATTCATCAATTCAGTAGCAAAGCTTTGAGATAAGACCATCATACTTTTTAGCTATTGCTTTGACAGGAGCCTACTGACTTGAAGCTCACAAGTTAAAAAATATTTGTTTAATGCTATGACCTGTCACTCTATACTCAAACTAATCCCTTTATTAGCTATTCTTCCATAAATGTGTTAATGCATATGTGTAGGCAATAAACTTTTCTACAAAGCAAAATTAACCTGCGCTGCCTTGCAGACACCTTTAAAAAGTTAGCAGCATCAACAAGCATTATGCATTCATTCATTACACTACTCCATCTAAGAAAAAAATCTTCAGCAATTAATTTCTTGCAGATTATCAGCTTACAATTCTGCATCTTCTCACTGAGGGCTGAATGTACACCTGCTCAGGGAAGGGTTCAGTAGGTAGTCTTCTGCCCAGGTACCGACCTCAACTTTAAGCTCAACTGAACAAAAAAAGCGATCAACTTGCCAAAGAAGTCTCCTTTCCATGCCTGCCATTAGAAACACCATCACAGCTTTCTCCAAGCTGATGCAGAACCACACAGCACGAGCACAGCCACATCTGTACCTCAACAACCATAGTAAGCAGTGTGCCTGCTTGCTGCTGAAGTAGCAGATTGCCACTACACTAGTCTGAATCAAAGTGCTGCAGGCGTGATCAGGTTTAGATAATTAACATTAGCACATATGTTAACTTTAATATTTTCTTCATGAAGCTTGTGATTAGCAGGTCTAAAAGCCACTCGCATACATAGGAACAACACATATACTTCCTTTAGTAGTAATATATACTTCAAGTGCTTTTTTAGAAGGAGACCACTGTGATTTTACAGCAAGCAGGAAGAAGCATCTCGTGAGAATCAAGGGCAATCAATCTGGAGTTCTGCCTTCGTTGTAATGCTGCAAGTGGAGCTTCTGCCCAGCTCTGTTCAGACTGCCAGTCCTTCACTGCTCAGAGAAAGCTTCCAAAGAAGTTGCATCACAGAATATGCACTGGATGAGTGTGTTGTTACAAATAAGGACAAAGATGAAAGGAAATAACACCTAAATTCTTGTTTAAAGTTGCCTGCTACCTAACAACAGGATAAAAAGCCTCATCTGCCTAACCTGCTCTCAATGAATACTGATAAAATCCTTTAACTGCTCCAAAACTCAAGTCACTGCATACAAACATGACTTAAAATCATCTTCCTCCTTGAAACCCATAAACTTAACTCTAATGTCTATTATGTTTCCAACTACTCTAGCAATTTCTATTAAATCACCATGTTTCTGTGCTTTCTGGGGAGGAAGCGGAAGAGAGTTCTTCTGTTCAACCAGCAACTAAACTTGCTGAAGTTGAAGCAAAATGATACAAAGCCAGAGCAGATGTTGATTAGCCTAAGCATATCTGATTAACAGCTGCTTTGAAAAAAAGCAGTCACTAAAGAAATGAGCAAGCTCGAGAGTAATAATAATTAAAAAATCCCTACTGATGTCAACAATGATTTTATCCAATGCTTCAGAAAGGCAGTTTCCTAGACAGCACAAACTACACAGCCTTGCTGGAAAGTTGCTTCCGAGATCATCCTAAATCTCCTCTACATATTAAATAATGGAAATGATTCTAAAATTTACAAGTTAAAACAAAAAGTAGAAAATTAAAAACTATCAATAACCACATATGAAACTTATCCACAAGTAAGAGGCAAAACAGGAAAGACTTTCTAGCTAATCTTATATACCAGGATGTGTTTGAAAGAGTCGTTTGCTTACTACTCATTCAATCAGTACCTTCATCTCAGCATCAGATTACTGCTACCTACAAGAACCAGGCCTCCTCAAACACCACTCCAGTGGGTACTGAAACCCAGTAGTGAAGGAGGTGGGGGGAACTCAAAAGGCACTCACACCTCTTTCGTGGTAAGCTTGAGGAAAGCAGGCTCTTCACAAACCCTCTCCCACCCCCAGACCCCACCCCACGTCTTCTGTTTCTTCTTCTGCTGAAGACTTAGGCCACACAATCCTTACGTGCCTGCACACAGCACACTAAACCACTAAGACATCCTAGCGTTTAAGAGTTCTGGTCTGATCAGGAACATCAAGTCAAACACCAAATCCCCTCCTCCCACAAATTTATGCATTTAATTTTACACCTGCAACTATTTTCAGTTACAATAAAATAAATAAATAAATATATTAGGCTACAAGGTTTTCTAAGTATTTTAATAGCGTTATCAAAAATGCATTACTGAAATAAGTAAAAGAACTACTTAGGAACATTCTTAATTAGAACAAAAAAATGCTGTGGGAGAATCAATTATCTGCCATTGTGTTCAGATACATTTAGAAAAATGAGACACTCACATGCGAGTGCTTCATAAATTCCAATACTGAGGACTGAAAAGAATGCAAGTTTTCCAAAGAAAAGCTCAATAAGGTCAGCAGCTCTTTCCAACAGGTAGACTTTCCACCTCAAAAAAAATAAAGCATAAGCCAACTGAGAGGTAACAGAAAAACTGCTATGTGGGACTCCTATACTTCACATACTGTCAAAATGCTGTTTCACTTCTACGTTTGGCAGAACATATGCAGAAATCCTCAGCTCTATTTGCTTCTTTAGCACTAACAAGAGACCCATTAAGGAACCCAATATAAATATTTCAATCAAAAAGCAAGAGCTGCCAAAATATCAAGAAGAAAATATAAAAAAAATATATAAATCTTGATAGAGATGATGTGACTGGAGTAACAAACCTTAAAAATGAACGACAAAGAACACATGCTGCTCAGCTTTCTCAGACCTGGCTGGCTTCCCCCAGAGATTAGCTTATTTAACTGGAAAGAGCACAGGTACCTGCCACCTTTGTGTAACAATTAACACAAGAACAGATTTTGTTTACCTCACCTGAGGAACCAGCAGCAGTCACTGCACAGGTAAAACACACCGAGCCTGGGGACTGGGTTTTTCGGTTGTTTTTGTTTTTTAAACTAACAACACAAAAGGATAAGCACGTTTCTGTAAAGATCATTATTGGAATAAGACTCAGCTCTTTTAAAACGTTCATTTCTCCAGGCAACAACCTGATAGAAGCGAAAAGCTGCTACCACTGGTTCATCAGAAAAAGTCACCAAAAGGATGCTCAGGTGTTCTTCTAAAGCAATTCTTAGGGAGCATACAAAAAAATCTTCAAAATTAAAAAATTTCAGCAGTGATGGAGCGAGGATAACACACGTTTAATTTCTGCTTCAAGCAGCTTCCAACTGCTGCTTATCCTCATCATCACTAAGCAATTAAAAAAAAAAAAAAAAACAAAAAACGAAACAGAAAATGGAAAGGCCCGGTTATTACAGGCGTACAGAGAAACCGCAGCAATGGGAGGGAGGGGAAGAGAAGACACGGGCCTAACAGCGTTACAAAACCGCAGCGGCGCTGAGATAAAGCCCTCGGCTACACGGCCGGGCGCCGCGCGGCTCCCGAGGAGGGCCGTGCCTCCGGGGATCCCGGCACGGCCCGAGGGCGCTGCCGCGAGCGGCGCCGCTCACAAAGGGATCGGGCGGGCACGGCGAGGGCCGCACGCGGGGTGAGCGGGAGCGGACGGCTCGGGACGGCGGGCAGGGACGGAAATAATGGAGAAGTGGGGAGAGAGCGCGGGGCTCGGCGAGCCCAGGCCGAGGGGGAGGGAGAAAGGAGGGGAGGGAGGAGGGGGGCGATAGCGCCCGCAGCCCGGGCAGGGGGTCGGGACGGAGCCGTGAAGGGAGAAGGAAGCGGGCGAGGGCCGAGGCGGCGGGGCCCAGTCCGCGCCGGGCCGAGTCACAAGAGAAATAAAAGAAATAAATGAGGACGGCGGGGAGAGGAGGGACGCGAGCGCCCGGGCCCCGCCGGGAGCTGGGCTCCCCAAGGAGCCATTTTAGAAACGGCCGCGCCGCCACCTCCGCCCGAGCCGCACCGGGCGCCCCCGCTCCCCGCCCGGGCCCGGCCGGCCCTCAGCACGGCCCCGGCAGGGACGGCCACTCACCCTCCCCTCGAAGTTGTTCTCCTCCACGTCGCTCATGTCGGCAAAGTCCTGACCGCGGGGCCGGGCGAACGGGGACGCTGGTCCCAAGCAGCGACCGCACCCGCCGCCGCTACCGCTACAGTTACCGCGGTTAACGCTATCCCTACCGCCACCGTCCGCCACCGTCCGCCCCCCTCCCGCCAAAGCTCCCAACCCGTCTCCCGCAGCAGCGCAAAATGGCGCCTCCGCTTCGTCTGCGCCCGACACGGCTCGGGGGTGGGGCCGGGCCCGGCCCGCCCGCCCGCCACAAAGGAGGCGCCGCCGGCGGACGACGAGCGGCTGCGACGCGCTCTGAGCCGTGCGGCCGCCACGCACGCGCAGGCTCGTCCTCGTGCCGCCGAGAACCGAGTCCCGCCCGCCAGCGCGCGGCTCCACGCCTCCTCACGGCGGCCGTACGAGGACGTGCCGGGTCTGTAATACCGCGCGAGGCCTCGCACTGCGCAGCTTCACTTTTCTTCTCTCGTTAACGTCACCCCTTCTGCTCTTTTCTAGTAAATTGCCCTGAGTTCTGCACCGCTAGAAAGGCATCTAAACGGAAACGCGTTCAGGCTACCAGTACCAGTCTGGTGTCGCAACAAGCGGTTACTTCATTTACAGGGCTAGAAGGTTGCTTTCATTGTAAAAGAAAAAAAAAAAAAAAAAGCCAAATGAGGAAAATTTTAAGAAAGACAGCTTTCCCAGAAAGGAACAGAGCTCAGAGGTGCCCAAGCAGCCAGGGAGTGCTCCCTAAAGATCACATCCTTGCTTCATGAGGCATGCTCCAGGGGCTCCAGCAACCAGCAGTGCCTGCAGCTCTGCCTGGCTCTCCTCCAGTCCATCACACAGGATTCCAACAGCACCTCTACAGCCACTCCAGCCAGATTGCAGTAGAGAAGCTCATCCCTATGCAGCTGGGGCAGAAATTCCAATACAGCTGTAGCAGAAACGCTAAGTCACAGCATGAAACAGTGAGCACCTGGTGGGAACGTAGGGCTAACCCAGGGGAGCTCAGTGCAATGCACCTGAGTGACCAGAAGGGGTGAAGGATCCATCCCTTTCCAAACCTCACTTAGGGGTTGGCAGTGGAGGCAAGGATATCTTACCGTAGAGCCTTAGCTACCTGTGGCCTTTCAAAGGTAAACAGCCTTTTTTTCCTTAGTTTCTACAGCAGCAGCTGCTGCTTTTGGGCTCATCCTCACTTGCTGCAGTCTAGGACATTGCCTACAGCACTGACTCTGCTTTTACCCTGTGCTTTTCATTGCACTGTAGCTTTACAATAGCCATTGTGTATGCTTATCTGTATGCAAAGGATTGGTGTTGTTTCCTACATCAGTGAAGTTGATTAAATGAAAGGCTGGAACTCTACATGCTAGTCTTTCCTCTTTTTGCCCAGAGAACCAGAAGCAAATATTTTAACTAACCAATACCACGGTAGTAAAAGTAGGTGGTATATCAGAAAGATCTTCATTCTCTAGGCTTTTGAAATGTTTCATTTTGGCTGAAAGCTTCTTGCTTTTGATTTCTCTGAAGTTTTAGTTAACTCCTTAACCTTGTTTAATTGCAATTAATTTGTCATTCCTAAAAGTCTAGGCTATATTGTAGACACTGCTGTTGTCTAGCTTTCCAAAATACATTCTTAGTCAATGTCACAATGTCTTTTATACCATCTCTGCTCCATTCAGTTCTAGTAGATAGGTTTGCTCATGTCCCCTTCCCAGTGTAACTCTATCAATGAGCAAGTGTCCTACTACAGGATTGCATTCTGTTCTGGCATAATCCGATCCTGGTCCCAGCTGATGCTGCATATAAGCAGAGGGAACAAAAGGAAAATGAAACAAAAGCCACACTTAAATTCTAACACAAATAAGCTTGTCAGTCTTCTGCCACCAGGTGGATCAGTGGAAAAAAAGGGAACCAAGAACAGAGTGGAAAAAGAATATGTATATATAAAATACAACACTTAAAAAAAAAAAAAAGTGGGAGGGGAAGGAAAATGAGGCAAGAGAACATAAGACAGGAATATATTCTCATTAACATGTACGTATGTGAGACTTTGCCACAGTGTACAGTGACAGTGCTTCCTAAGTACCAATATTAATTCCAGCAGTATTTTAAGATATTCCAATGATTAAACTAAAAAAAAAAAAAAAAAAAAAAAAAGTAGAAACTGATACAAAGACCTACTTGTAAAAAAAAAAAATCAGATTTACATTTTAAATTGAAAACTGCAAGCACTCTGTGTTTTCCACAACCAGCCTGTCTTCATCATTTCCTACAATACGCTACAGTAACATCACCACAGCTTCCTGGAGTCTAAAATTGATAATTATTTGATATTACCTGTGTATTTCAGGTTTGACTTTCACAATCTATAAGGTGGCAAGGATAAAAAGAGTATATGATGAGATGCACATTCATGAAGGATGATCAAATGCATGACGCCTTCAGGCAACAGAAAAAAATATTATTAATAGTTGAGAGTTCCTGTAAACAGAGGATACATTTATAACAGAGACATATCTTAATTCTCCAATCCCACCAGCAAATCTTCTTGTGCTTACACTATTGACAGATTTCCCTTTCTTTCCCTTGCAAGCTCTAAATTTCATATAATTTATATTTGCAAAGATATTACAGCTGCTCACTGCGTGTCTGTGAAAATAAAGGATTAATCACTGTGCAAGTAGTACAGCAATAAATGGCAGTAAATAGCTGTGATACATTTGTTACGTGAAGTCCATTTCAGCTGTTGTTTTTGATCTTTTCTTGATGTTAGGAGAGGAATTATTAATGAGAAAATGCTTACAGAAACTGATGAGATTATTTGCCTTTGGAAAATAATTCTACCAACAAATTTATTGGTGGTGTACAACATGTAATCAGTCTCTTCACTCAAAAGCTAAATTATGAAATATTTCATGTCTTAATTTTTGCCTCTTGTCTGTGTTGTGTAATTTAGCAAAAGTCTCTTTTCCATGGGACAGATTGAATAATCAAAAATTTTACAAATTCCTTTAATGCAGCTTCTTATGGTTTCTCTGTGGGAATGCAGCATCTAGCTCAATAACTGTATAATCTTCCAAATTGAAATGGGCCTTTGGGTAAACACCAATATTTTTCACACCAGCAAGAAAAATTCATTTTTCCAAAGTAGCTCTTACAAGACTGAAATAAAAGCACTATAGACTAGTCAGCATCAGAAAACTCATACAAGTAAATATTTGCATATGTCTGATTTGCTGTCTGTTGGGATACCACCTACCCCCAGTTCTATTTGTTTTCTTAGGTCTAGGCCACCAACCCCGCTGACACATTAATATCCTTTTCTTCCTGTTGGAGCAACAGATTTAAATGCTGAATTTTCCCATGTCTAATCCATCCAGAAAAGAAGGCTGAAAAATTCAGAACTGGCAAGTAGATTCAGACAAGCACTGGAAATGCGGGAAGAAATGCACATGTGGGAAGATGGTGTGATCAGCAAGGTGAAAACTGCTTTCTGCATCTCTGTTTATTTTACAAGGTGAAGCTATGCATGCAGAACAACACTGCAAGTAAAACTTTCTAATACACTAAAATTGAGTTACTTGATTGGTAACAGGTATGAGAGCTAACCTAGAGATAAAGAATCCTGAAGAGATTAAGTAAACTAGAAGTACTTCTGATCACAGCAACGTGACAGTTGAAGGTGCCCACACCTTCACATTTGGTAAATTGATACCAATTTCCTTATGTGCAGCACTGTAGGAACACGATGTAACTTGCTGGCACAGCTCTGTACGTACATCTGACTTACATGAATGTTTGAATACTATGGCATTAGAGTGCCAAAGTGCCAAAGCTGTGAGTAGCTTCTGCAACCCATTACAATAACTGAACTGTATGTAACAGCAAACTAACCACATGCCAAACCAGATGGATGGTGATAGCTTCTGTGCCTACCGTCACAATTCATTTACACCAGTAGAGGGCAGAAATGATAACTTTCCCTTTTTTGTAAAGGCTCCCTAACTTCATCCAAATCACAGAATTGAGTAGGAAAGGACCCTTAAAGGCCATCTAGACAAACATCCCTGTAATTAACAGGGACACTTACAGCTAGATCATGTTGTTCAGAGCCCTATCCAGCTTTTATCTTGAATGTCCCAAGAGTTGAGGCATCTACCACCTCTCTGGGCAACTTGTTCCAGGGCTTCACTACCATTATTGTAAAAATCTGTGACCTTGACATATCTAGTCTAAGTCTGACCTCTTCTACTTAGAAACCAATTCCCCTTGTTGTTTCACAACAGATACTGTTAAAGAGTCTGTCCCCTTCTTTCTTCAGCCCCCCTTTAGAAACAGAAAGGCTGCACTAAGGTCTTCCCATATCCTTCTCTTCTCCAAGCTGAACAGCCTCAGCTCTCTCAGCGTGCTCTCACAGGGGAGGTGTTCCAACCCTTGGATCGTTTCTGTGGACCTTCTCTGTTCACGCTCCAACAGGTCCACATCTCTCCTGTACTGAGGACTCCGCGTCTGGACGCAGTACTCCAGGTGAGGTCTCACCAGCACAGAGCAGAGGGGCAGGACCACCTCCCTCACCTTGCTGGCCGTGCTGCTTTTTGTGCAGCCCAAGATACGGTTGGCATTCTGGGCTGTGAGGGCACACTGCTGGCTCATGTCCAGCTGCCACCCACCAGTGTCCCCAGGTCCTTTTCAGTAGGGCTGTTCTCTAGCCTTCCATCCCCCAGCTTGTGCTGATAACGGAAGTTGCTGTGACCCATGTGTGAGACCTTACACTTGGCTTTTCTAGCCTCATACGGTTCTCCTAGGCTCATCGCTTCAGACTGTCTAGGTCGCTGTGGATGGCATCCCGCCCTTCAGCTGACGTCCCTGCGTCCACCGCCTCGCCGCCGGCCCTAACGGCGCTCCCTGGAGAGCAGCGCGGCCGAGAGCGCCGCTTCTGCCGGGCACGAGCCCCTCCCGCTGCCAAGATGGTGGTTGCGGAGGGGCGCCCAGGAGGCGGGAAGAAGCGGTGTTCTGCGCATGCGCCGCAGGGGCGTTGCGGCAGCCCTCCCGGTGGGGAGGGGAAGTAGGCGGGTCTGTGGGCGAGCGCCGAGCGGTGCGGTGGGGTCGGTGGAAGCGGTGAGCGGAGCGTTGTCAGGTGGGTGCGGTTGGGAGCGGAGACGACGCGCAGCGTGCGCGCCGGGAGCGGGAGCGTCCCACGTGTGCAGAAGGGTGAGGATGGCCGCGCGCTGCGCCCCAGGGTCGGGGCCGTGCGGGGAGGTGGGCGCACCGCCGGCGTGGGGCCGGGGGCGGGGAGGGGTGAGCGGGCGGCCGCTGCTTGCCGGCGGCCGGACCCGGGCTTCCGCTTCGCCTCGGCGCCCGCTTTGTTCTGCTTCGTAGTTTTATTTTCTTGGTTGCAGGCGCCGGCTGCTGGCCGGCGTCCGCGCGGCTTTCCTTCCCGCAGCGTCGGTTGTGCGTTATTTGCGATTTTTCAAGTGTGGAAGTATCCAGTGAGGTAGTGAAACATCCGGCGTAACTTAAAGCGGGTCTGGAACTTGCTTTGAACTCGCAAAAATCCGTCGTGGTTTCCTTCCTCGCATGCAGTGGCCTTTCAGTCAGCAGCGGTGAGTGCGGTGACTCTGCAGGATTTACTTCTGCCTCGTGCTCCAGTGACCCGGCTTGTGGAGAGGCTGGGCGCGCTCAGCGCTGCGATGGAACTTAAAGACAGCGCTGCCCACGTTCGAGCAGAGGTGGAATCGTTAGCTGTAGTAATTTCCGTAAGCGTTTGTAATGCGCTAGCATCTGTCTCCCTCGTTTCTGTAGTTTCATTAATCACTCAATAATTTTTTTTTTCTTTCAGTTTTCTAATCCAACACGTTAGCATCCTGTACGTTCTCTTTTATGTATTATGTCTCTAAAAGATAGTGACAGATAGAAGGGAACGCAAGTTCTGGGTTTGTGTGCCGCAGAGCGGTGCAGAGAGAAGACGTGTTGTGTTTCTTATGACTTTATTCCCCTCAGTGGGTAACTTATGGGGGTGGGGGGCAGTTTCTCTCTTTAGAAATTGAGCTTTGTCAGAACTGGGGTTTTTATTTTGTAACAAAGCCTTCAGAATATGAGCACGTTGAATATAAAAGCTAATTGTGCATGAGATTTGTTCTGACTAATTGTGATGTGTTGTTATTCTGCTGCAAGTGTCATGAATTGCGATTGCATCCTTGTGAGGATATCACGCAGAAGAGACAGGATGATGGTGGTAACAATGCTCTGTGAGCAGCATCTTGTTCTAGTGTTGCAGAGATTGCAGTTTTAGATCAAATTTATTGCTCCCTTTGTTCCTAGTTTGACTGCTGGAGATATCCATGTATAAAGCTGAAATTTTTGTGTCCTGTTTATGTTATTTTATGCTTTTCACTATGTTCAGTGATTTAACTAGGAGCTGCAAAGAATTAAGTAATTGTGATGAAATCAATTCTGTCCAATAAGTAGGTCTCTCTCTTAAAGCTTTTTCAGGTAAAAATGTAGCTATTTGGAGTTCTTTTCGTTTCTTGTTACTGCTTTGTTTTAAACCCCCTCATGACTTCTCGCTTCCTGAGGGAGGCATTGGTATTAGGTAATCCCATGCTGTTTAGCTTGGAGGTTGAATGTTGTTTAACTGCTAAAAGTAAAATATTTCCCCTGGAGTTCATGAGCACTCATACCTTTTTTTGAGAATAGCTACAAGCACTGGTTTTTGCATCTTGCCCACACTGTGAGTAGGATAACTGCGTGCTGTCAGCTTAAATTGTCAGCTGTGTACACTCCATATCTACAGACAAGTAAGCATCAAAAATACATGTTAAGTTGTTTACAGTAGCTGTCAAAAATCTGTTGCGGATCTCAGTCATTCGGATGAATGTGTTTTGTCCTGGTGGAAATTTACTGCTGAAATGTTCTTTATAAGGTATTTGTTATTTGAAAAGCCCTTTCAGCTGTGACTGAAATCTTGCACCGTCGAGTGGACTGGGTTTCCCGAACCAAGCGTTAGTAACAGTCTCTTAACTTTTCTTGTATGATTATCAGATTTACAAGAATTATTTTACCGCTTGCCTGTGCCATTTAAAAGGTTAATTTTGAACTAAGTAGGTACGTTGTTTATTTAAAAGAGGGTGTGTGCTAGTGCTGGACTTGAGAGGACTTCAGTTTCACTGGGGTAAATTTTATCTCTGCAGTAGCAACCAAGAAATGAGGCTACCTCAAGATGAACTGCCTGGATAAGTTTCTGGGTATCTTCTTCTTTTGAAGAATGAATTCTTCTGCTTTCCCTACTTTTATGGTTAAAGATTGTCTGTCATAATGCATATGATGTTAAGGTAAAATGACAGACTAATCTAGCCATAATGGAACATGAAGAAGGAGCGAAATTGTCTGTCTTTAACATTTCCTCCACTTTCATTTTAGGGAAATCTTCAGCTGGGTCAGCTTCCTGGGAGAGGGAGCGTGAGCCTGAGGCCTGCTCCATGCTGTAGTGTGACCACTCAGTAGTATTCTGGATGAACGAGTCTTGTGCATATCCATACTTAGTTTGAATTCTGAGGGTTTCCTGAAATAAAACCACACATGTTACGTTCTTCCTCTCTCTCCAGTATGCTCTTTTGCTACTTATTACAGGAGTAGTGTTTCTATGGGTGCTGTGTATATGCATGTGGGTGTGTACGTATATGACCAGTTCTACAGAGGCAAACTTTCTGCCTTTGTAGCAGTCACTTTACTAGTTGGCTTTAATCCCCCTCCCTCCCTCCCAGTTATTTTTAAAACATTTAGTGAAAATCTCTCTCAATTGCCCACGTTGATGGTCTTGAAATTGTGGTCCTGGTATAACTAGCTAAAATTAGCCAAATGTTAACATTTCAGAAGGAAGTTTTGGGTACGTGGTGCAAACATAGCTGTGAAATTTCACAGAGGAAGTTGTCAAGGAAGTGTCTTTTATAGCCTGGTATTCAACTGCACTGAAAATATAGTGGCAAAACTAGCAGAAGAAGGTGGGGCGGTACCTCATGCTCTGCTGTAGCTGTGGTTCTTGTGAGCAGGTGTCCCACTATGATGGCCTGAACGACAGTGGCAGAGCATATGGACAAAAGTGTACCAGATGAAGTGAAGAAGCTGCTAAGAAGTTGTAGGAATGCTTTGTGGCCCAGATGGACCTAGTGGGCAGCAAGTAGAATATAATATACTGTCCCCATTGATGTTTGCTTGCTTTGACTTTCTTCATAGCACTTGCCAAGTCATTTCCCCTCTCAAAACCTTGGCTGACTGCCTGCAGACAAGGAACAAAGAATTTCTATTGGTTGATTTTTGAAGCATTTGCTGCCAATGGTAGGCAAAACAAAGGGGAGGGGAGGAAGGAAAAGAGAGGCAAGCCAGGATACTTTATAGGAACCAAAAGGTATTCAGCAGACTCCTTAGGCTAATGCAGAGTAAGAAGAGTCATTGGCAGAAAATGCAAAATAAAAACAGTACAAATTGGGCTACATTCAAAATTGAAACAAGTCACCAGGATTTCTCAAATTCTGCAGTACTAAATGTCGTGTAGCATTTGGGTGCTCAGATCGCTTCGATCAGAGACACTGTAAACCTGATGGGTGGATCTTCAAGTCTAAACTTTTTTATTACTTTCAATTCAAAGTCCACCTGCAATAAGTTGTTTGTGTGCTGTTCTCAGAGGCGTGTGGGAGATGAATCTGCTGCTTACCTTCTTACCCATTCTTGAGTGCTGTTCTTTGTATTTGAGCCTAGCAGACATTAGTATTAATTCTTTCTATCAACAGATCAGTGCTGCAGTCTGAAAAGGGCTTCAGGCCATATCAGCATCCAAGTGTAGTATTTTGAAGGACTTTGTTGTGCCAGGCATCACTGAGGCTTTTGGCAATAGGATATCTTTTTTCTTTCCCCCCCTCGGTAGTGGCATTTCTTCGTTGACCAGATTTTACACTGGCAGTAAAAGGAATACTTAATGTGCTGAGGGTTAGTCTTGTCAAAAACCAGCTGAATGTGGTTTCATTTGTCTTGGGGCACACTTTGCTGGTAATTTTTTGCTACCTAGTAAAACATCCAGGTCTTTTATGGAGCTGTGCAGCTCTTTTCTTTCATAGTTTCTCAGATGGAGAAATATATATACGTATATATATATATAAATATATATATATAATTATTTTCTCCTGGTTCTCACCAGGAGTCGCAGTCCTGTTATAACAGGATGTACATAATTTCTCTGAGCATCAATTTGTCAACGGCACCCTGTGCAGACTTCTGTCCTGCTGCCAAGCCGATGGCCAGATAAAAACACAAAGAAACAGAATATCAGAAATCAGTTCTGATTTTCCTGTTCTGGAAAAGACTTGGTGTGTGGCTCCTGTGCTTCTGTGCTTATTTCTTCGTCCTCATCTTCAAAGATTAGTTGGTCGCTATGTACATTCAACTGAACTTCTGTGCTTTTTTGTGTCAGCCATTCTCTTCTTTAAGCTGCACAGTGACTGATCTGATAGGTCTCCAGATACCAAAGACACTGTTCTCAGTGTGATGTCTGTAGGTTAACTCACTATGATTTTGGAGATTTTCTGTTGGGAAGTCAGAAAAAAGGTTTTGGAGTTTGTAGAGATAATGAGGGATGGGTTCTAAATACATGTGTAAAAAAGAACTAATAGGATATTGTTGATGGAACGTTGGAAGCTTTTCCAGGAGTTCTGTTAGGCTCTGTGATTTGGTTTTCCAGAAAGGTACGTTGACTGTTTCAATGAGAGCATCATGAATTCTGTTTGCAGCTTGTTGTTTGTTAATATATCCCCACTGTACTGAGAAATGTTTGCTGCCATAAATCTAACAGAAATTTCTAGTACGGACTAGTAAATAATTTTAGTCTGCTGGTTTAAAATCCCTGATGTTTTCAGAAAGTTGTTACACTTCCACTGAGACTGTAGTACAGTACTGTACAATTACTTCATAGTAACCATTAATCTCAGCTTTTATTGGTACTGTTCTAGTTTTTGTCTGCTCTCTGTTCTTTTGCAGCACTTTTCCCCTTCATCTGCCTGTAGTTGGATGCAGTCTTGTTGGTTCTATTTGGTGTTTCTTTTTTATGTCTTGATAAATCACTTTTTGTTTATACAGTTAATGATAATTACAAAGCCAGGCTTGCTTTGGAACTCACCGTGTCATGTTGTTGAGCATAATTTGTCAGTCAGACACAGAGAAGTATTATCACAGTATGTAATAGATTGAGTAAAATTGCTATTTATCAAGGTTACTTCCTTCATATATTAGTTTGAGACCTAAATAGATAAATCTCTGGGGAATTGCTTAGAAATTACTGCTTCAACACTTGGCGTTCTGTCTTTCAAATTAGGTAACCAAAGGTGATTGAATCAGGCTATGTTAATAATACTTTTTTTGAGGGCATTTTTCCTGGCTTCATCCTGCAAAGTAATGTGATTTGGAGGCTTCTGTTCCAGCCCCTCCCTCTCCCCCGTATTTACACTGTTTATCTTTTTTGCTAAAGCTGCTCACCAGAAGCACCTGCCGGTTGCCCGCTCCTTTCTTGTGCCCTTGTGCTCAGCTTCCTCTGTCCTGTCGTTCTTTCCAAGCCAGGCGCTACGGACCATCTCTGCTGCAGTTGCAACTTGCTGTGCTGATGTCGGTAACTGCTTTTTGCAGTTTGGTGAAGGGAGATCCCTTGGACAGACGAGAGCAGTGATGGTGAATATGTACAGGTCTTTCATGAGCTGACTGACTAGCAGAACTGGCGGTGCTGCAAGGTGAATTGTAACCTGTTAAGAAGTTGAGTGTGCCTTGTTTTCACAATACTCTTTTGTTGTTTAAGAGGATGTATGAGGTGTGCCTTTGTCTTGCAAATTGTTGCGTTTCTTGTGAGGACTTGGTTGTCATCTCTGCGTTTTGCTAGGAATAAATAACGCAGAATGTAAGGAAAACTGCAGCACGATTCAGCTATCATGGTTTTAAGTATGGCTTGGTTTCCATGGAGCAGTCAGTATTAAGATTGAAGTCTAATGCTATTGTTTAAGTAGCATCAGAGAGTAGAGCTTTGCTTTATTACAGAGCATACAATGGATTTCACCTGGCGTTTTCTTTGGTCCCTATTTCTTTCGTTTCACACACTCATGATACAATTGATGTGGTGACTTCAGAGCCAGCACACAATTGAGAGGATAGAGGTGTGATTTATTTTGGAGAGGACGAAGTCCTTAGTTCACTGTTTTCATTGTGAGATATGTCACTGTTGTATCATCACTGGATGATGTTAAATCGACACTGACAGGCTTTGACAATAGATTTCTTAAACTGTGGTGGCGACAGTGAGCAAACCCGAACTCTGTGATGTAAAAGTGAAACCAAGCCTCTGTTCTGAAATTCGCTGTAGTTTCAAGCTCTCCTGTTGCCTCTGCCTTGGGATAATCATTTGGAAAATAATTCAAATATTCACTTTGGCTTCAGTGATCTTAGAAAAATTGCCTCTTGAAACACTCATCTTTGCCTGCCTGTTGATTATCTGGAGGATGCTCACTTCTGCATGGTTCCTGGACTTGCCATTTTGCCTGTGTAGTTGCTTTTTTGTTTCGTTTTGTCCTCTTCCTCCACGGAATTTCAAGATTTGTCTCGTCCGTACTTCTGTCTTCACGGTCAGCTTCACTTTGTCTTCAGTAAGGGATGGCAGGAGCTCCAACAGTGTGTAATTCTGTTCTTTTTTCCTGTTGTTTTCTGCAATGACCTCCTTTGCCATAAAATCACTTCAGCTGAGGCTGGGAGAGCAGTAAGCCTGGGTTCCCACACAGGCTGAGTCACTGTGAAGAAGGAAGTCTTAGCTGCTTTTTTTTTTTTCCCCTTTTCAGCAGGAAGTAGTAGGTAAGGAGGAATTGAGAGAATGAGGGGAAAAAATCACAGGGAACGATGTTAGTTGTTTTGTACAAGTGTGCTGTTATTTCATTAGATGTTACCTCTGTATTATTGAAAAGAATCCATTCTGAGTACAATTGTTTTAAACTATAATGCTCATGCTCCAGATGTACCAACCTTTCAGGTCAACAAGAGATTCAAGGTTTTTCCAGTCCTTTTTATTTATTGTGCTATTTTCTTCCTAATGTTTGCTGCTGCTGCTCAGAAGCCTTTTTTTTTTTTCCTACCTGCAGATCACTTGAGTGATTGGCTTGCTTGCCTTTTTTCATTCTGCTCTGTGTTGATCTTGGAAGGTTTTTGCTGTATGTTACAGGTCACTGGAAGCACCTATTTCTCAAAGGAGTAAGAGGCCACATCTCCAGAGCTCTGAAATAACACTGGAATTCATATGAGGGTGAAAGGCCTCTTAAAAATGCCTTTATAACATAGGTAAAGTGACAGCTGCAAATGCATTCATTCTGGTAAACCTTACTCCCTGTTTCTTTCTCTGGGTTACTTGTGTGATGTTACGCCATTTGCCCAGCAGGTTGAGGCTGCTAGTTTCAGTGGTCAGTGTGTGCATTGTGAATCAAATACATGTGACGGAGGCCCACTCTGTAGTTCCCACTGCTCTTTGGCAAGAGTTTATTCAATCTGTTCATCTTGGCCAGGGTTCTTATCTTGGCTTGTGGTGTTACTTACAGTGTGATAGCAGTGTTACTGCTACTCCAAAGCTCTCTAGTGATACTGTCTAGTAAAGTGGTTCAGGATGAGATTTGAGTGGGGATCCGTGGGAGCGGAACTTCATGAAAATTCTGCAAGAATTATTTCAAACAGAACAAAAAAAAAATCAGGTATGCACACTGCAGACTTTCAAGAAGGGGGAGTGGAACTTCTGGTCTTTCTCTTTGAGGGAGGTATTGTTTGTTTTGAGTCATCACATGAGTGCACTACTGTGGTGCATCCTGTGTAAATGTTTTTCATTGTGTTGGATGCTATCCTGGGATTATGTATCTGCCTAGCAGCGTAGGTGCAGTAACCTATTCCTGATTTGCAGGGTTCTGTTTGCCTCTTATTTCAGTACATCTACATCAAAAGTAAGATTTTGTGTACTGACAGTTTATCCTCGTGCAATGCCTTGTGACTTCTCAGCAACTTTGTTCTCCAAGTCCTCATATTGCCCCTGGTTGGGGTTTAGAGTTTTCAGAGTAATGTTGATATATTAGCTAAGAATGAAGGTTTAGAAGCAATCAGCACAACTCAGAGCACTGCTGATGGTAACACTTCAATTTGCTGTCGGCTGTGGTTTGTTGGTGTTAGGCCAGTTGCAGTACTGAGCAGAGGTGATGAACATACCGTGGAGACTGAGTTCAGTCTAGGTGAGTGCTCAGCAGGATGAGGACTGCAGTCTCAATATTCTGAGCTAACGTTGTCTATTCAAAACAAAGACTGAACTATCAGTAAAGGAGGTTTGGTGAAGAACATGTATCTACGGTCAGAAAACTACTTGTGTCTCCCACACTACGTGTGGGAGGGAATGGAGAGTAACGTGAAAATGCAGTTATGTAGAATCAGTTGCTTTTTGCAGACTTAAATGATGGGAATTTCAATTATTGATGCTTTTTTGAGAGGAAGTTTGAGTTAGCTGGGAGATGAGAAATGATGACTGGGTTATTTGAAGAGGAAAAATGAGTAAGAACACAAATTGTGGGTATGCAAATGTGATCAATCTGTAGCGTGTGTCCGCCATAGCATAAGAAGAATGAGTTATTTCAGTGAGGTTCTTAAGTTTTGTTTGTCTTTTTTTAAACTACTGTGTTCAAATCAATTTGGGGGCATTCAAATGTAATAAAGTGGATTTGGATTGTGTGATTTCCTCTAACAGTGGCTTTAAAACTGAAAATGTATTTCATTTTGGCTCAAAGAGATCAATTTCAACTACTATATGGGAAAATTAAGGTCTTTTAGTGCTGCACTTTGTCTTGTTTGATTGATTTTTTTTCTTCTTCCAATACAGGGCTTCTAAAAGATGTCTGGCTCGTTTTACTTCAAACTGTCTGGCTATTTGCTGTTTAGCTGCTGAAGTTTTCCTACTGCTTGTTCTCCTGAATCCTTAATATATCAAGTTGTCAGAAGTGACTGCTATGGTAAGTTTTCTTTTTTTTTTTTAAAATAGTGGTAGCAAGCAGCTAGAAGCGTGTCCAGTGTGCATCTCTGTTTTGGTTTTATTTATGAGCAAGGCACCAAAAAGGGCAAAAAAAACCCCAAAACTGGAACACAACAGTACTGTACAAAAGCAGATGGCAACCAACTTGGAACTAACAAGCCAAGAAGCCTTGTTTTATCTCTTTATATTGCCCAGTGCTTCTACATGAATAATAAAGATCAAGTGAATAATTTCAGAAGTCAATTCTAGATGTTGCATTTGGGCTTACTAGTTCAAAGTACAGTATTTAAAATATTTAAGGTAACTTGTAAAAGCACAGAAGTTTTGAAGAACAAAAATAGAAAAAGAGGAAGCCCTATAACAGCAGACGAGACAGAAGGATGACCGTACCTCCGAGCAGATACAAATCTGCAGCTCTGTTCTATGTTCTGCTGTAATATTGCATTTGGAAAATTGTTTGTCATTGATCTCAACAACTACAGCAATTTTGAGTAACTAAGTAATGTTTTACAAATTTCAGGAATCAAGACCAGCTAAACTAAGAAGATGTATTCAAGATGATCCAGCCAGAAGACTTCTAACTTTGTAGAAATTCTGATTTCATTTAATATGTAATATAACTTGACTAACCTAGGTTCAGTTATTCTTCTTGAAAGTAAGACACTTGTGGCTTTCATCAGAAATGTTTCTAACATTTTCAAGAAAAAACATGTCCCAGAAACTAAGCATGTTTTTGCTGGTTTTTGGAATCATTTGGGGTTTGATGTTGCTACGCTACACTTTCCAGTATCCAAGACGTCAAAGCAGTGCTGAGCTGCGTGGTCAGATATTAGACCTAAGTAAAAGATATGTCAAAGCACTGGCAGAAGAAAATAAGAACTTAATGAATGGTGGCAGCGGAGCCTCTGTAGCAGGATATGGTAAGAGGGGGGAAAAAAAGCATCATAATTGTTCAGATAACTTTTTAAGTGGAATCCATGAGGTTGTGCTTCTTGAAGCAATATATGTTGTTTGCTCTTTAAGAGAAAATATCTCTCTGTACTGATTATTTTGGTTTTAGTACCAGGTAAGTTTAAATGTCATCTTTGTCCCAGATTTGAGAGCAGATAGTGGTGCGATGTGCTTTGTAGCTTATGTAGTTGTATATGATATATTTTAACAGCAGATTTTCTGTCACTTGGAGGAAAGTGTTTAATAACTACTCTTTTATATTGGAAGGTATTTAAAAATATTCTATCACTGTCCAAAGCTGAATGGTGACACGTGGATATTATCTGGGTGAAATTTGAAATACTGCCTTTGAAGAATCACCACCCTTCTGTTAGATCTTGAAGTTTTGTTCTTAGATTCTTAATATTTAGCTGGCTTGCTTTACATCTTAGTATTATGAGGGTATATTCCTAAAGTAACAAAGAAATTGTATTTAAAACAAACAAACACAAAAACTTGTAATTCTCCCACCCCTCAGTCTTTTTGAAATAGAATATTACACAGGATAACAAACTAAGATCTGAACATTTTGAAATAGCAGTTATTTTCTGCACGCAATAAATAACAGGAGTTTGTTTCATTGCCTTTCAGCTGATCTTAAGAGGACAATTGCTGTTCTTCTGGATGACATCTTACAGCGTCTTGTGAAATTGGAAAACAAAGTGGATTACATCATTGTGAATGGTTCAGCAACAAATACCACTAATGGAACTAGCAACCAAGTATCAGTAAATTCAGTTAAACGTGCAAAAGCAGCTGGCAACATTAGATAGCAAAGCAGGCTGTGTTGTGTTGCTACATGTATGATAGGTCATAATTAAGACAAGCTTTATCTCTGGCTGGGGCAAAGCAGTAGCTGACTCTAAATAAAGCATACGCTGTTCTGTTGAAGAATGCCTGGATATGTGTGTATATATATAGGCCTAACTTATGTGCATAAGGTTCTTAAAGCACTATTTCATTGCCTTTGAGCAGTGCTTCTAAAGCGATCCTTGTTGTCTTTAAAAATATTTTGATATCATGATTTGATGTAGTATGCCCTTGGATAATAACAATAAATGGACAGCAATGAGGTACTTAGAGGTAGGTTTATAAATGTATTTAATTAAGTATAAATATAGCATATCTTTTGGGTAGGTGAGCAGCGTTGTAGCTTATTCATTTTTGTGATCTGCATTAAACAGGTAACTGAGGAGAACATCGTTAAACAGGTGTTAGAAAGCGTGTACACTTAACAGTATTTTGTTACTCATTTGCTAAAATATTGAATTGAGGATAGCGCTTTGGGGGGGATAGCGTTTTAGAATTGTGACCCAAAGAATGTCTTTATTTGCACTATCAGAATAGTTAGAGAGAATTTACTGTATATTTAAGAAAATTAGTTACAATAGGAAAACATCCCAGGTAGTTACACTGTCCAGGTGTATCCGTGTGTCACAATTAAGGCAGTTAGATTACGAGAAGCAAACATAACCTGTGATTTCTTACTAAGATATTTAAGTGTATGTATTTTTTAACTGCAGATGAAACTATTTAAGTGATGGAAATAAGTTTTAGATATGTGAATACTGTTTATTTTTATTCACTGCTGTTTCTTTTTAACTCATGAGTAACTTGTGATTTGTGATGAGAATAGCACACCAGCTCCCTGAAATGCTTCCTTATCAGGAGGGAGAGCAGCGAAGGGAGACGAGGCATCTCTGCCTTTAATAGAGATATGTACTAAAGGTGTCTTACCATGGAATATTTCAGAGCTAAGGTAATGTTTGCCTTATGTCTAAGTTAGCCTTATAGCAAAGCGAATTGCAGTGTGGATGCGCTGTATTCCAAATGTTACTGAAGTCATATTCAAGTGCCACTGAGCCTGCTTTTTTAAAATGTAGTGAATGGTGAATGTTTTGCAGGGAGGGGAAGGGTATGTTCAGGGACTTTTGCCAAAAATGTGCTAGTTATTTATCTTTTAATGTGATGGGTCTTTTTTTTTTTTTTTTTTTTTTTTTAGTAATGGTCTAATTTTAATTAAGGAAAAACATGCAGTAAAAATGGAGGTGCTGGATGATATACCATCCAAAGTTCCGTGTCCTTTTTCTTTTTTTCCCCTGCTGTTACTCTGGATTTGTATGATGGAAAATGTAGTTAGAACCATAGCAGATAGATAACATTTTTTTTCCTGTCAAATTGTGTGTAAAGTTGTACTTCTTGCAGAAAGAGAAAAATAAATTTTTAATTGTACTTACAAAGACTCCTGTGTGTTGTTTTTTTTAAACAGTGCTGTCATTCTTAATGTGCCTCAGGTGTTTCAGGAAAATTGTAAGTCTCTGAGGTCTAGTACGAGGTTTAGTGGCAACGTCTACTACACTTGCAGCTGAATCACCAGATCCTCTTACTGTCTAATGTTTTGGAAACTTTCAGACTGGAGGTGAGTGGAGAAAGATACTGAAATGTAACAAAACAGGCCTGTTTTAAATCTTTAATCATGAAGACCCCAGTCTTAAATTAAAAGTGAGTAAGAGAAGTGCCATCTGCGAGTTTGTAATGTGGAGGTAGGTTTTATATCTCTTTGTGCTTTTTATTCCTTGTCTGTTTGATCTGTAGCAATAGAAACCTTGGTGGTGCTACTTGGCACTATGAAGAGTAATGGAGGTGTCCTTGTGTATGTAAAGCATCTTCTCTTTTTCTTGTAAGGGTATATGAAGTCAAAAACAAATTTAAGGATTGCTAAAGAAGCCTAAAAAAAAAAAAGCTGCCAGGTGTATATTTGTCTCTATGAGCTCACAGTTTGAACAGGATTTTGGAAACAGACACATACTGACTTAAATGCAGTACCCCTCATAGTAATTCATGGTTGCATTAGTGAAGTTGCTTTTCTCAGTGTCACAATGACTTACACGAGTTGTCTTGTATTTAGTGTGTGTGTGTGTGTGTGTGTATGTGTGTGTATGTAGGAAGAACAGCGAGCAAGCAATAGTATGAATGTTGTTTTCATAATACAGTTTATCAAGAAGCAAACTCAAAACATTCAACTAGCTTGTTGTACTTATTCTTACACGAAAGCAGTATTGCTAGGGCGTGTATAGCATTGTATCAGTATCCAAGATACATCTTGCCCCTTTCTTTGTGGCCGGTCCTGTTTGGTGCTGAGTGGTCCCACACTTTGGATGGATGAACAGATACTCCACTGACGCCCACGAAAACTGCTCAAAGCAAATCTGTTCATCCATTGTTGGGATCACAGAATTTTTCTGATCTGTGTCCAATGAAATAAAAAGTAGTAATACTGCAGCGTAGCGCAAGAATGTAGTAGTTTTTGTAGACAGTGCTCTGAAACATCCATCTTCTTGGCAGCCAGTAATATGCTGCACAGTTGTCTATTTTTCCAAGTATTGACTCAATATTCACTTTTCTTTAATGTGGTCATTAATGGGGTCTGGCTAGATAGATGCAAATATTTTCGAGTAGAATTATCTAATGCTGACAATTCCAGATGGCATCGTCAGACTCATGAAGGAGGCAAGTTGCACAAGGGACCCAAGTGTTTCCTTGTGCAGATACTTAATGTGGAATTAACTGCCACAGGAAAATGATTGGGAAAGTAATTACATGAACTTTGAAATCTAAGTTTATTAAGTTTTCTTAAAATGTCTTCAAAACCATCAAATTCATGGAATGAACTAAACTTCTTAACCCAGTTAATTGGTGATTTATTTTTCAGATGATACAGGGTGTCAGTGGACATCTTTAACGATTAACCCAAATGTGACCTCCTTACCCAGGACTTTGATTAGTTTGTGTTGCACAACCGGCTGGCTGCCCGCAGGATTTGAGCTAATATATTTGACAGTACGGAAAAGGTTTTCTTTCAGAGGCAAGTTTTAATTTTATAGCAGCTAAAAAGGTGAATCAGACTTCTGTGATGTTGGATCCCACTTGTTTTTTTTTTTTTTTTTTTTTTGCCTTATTTTTTATATTTTAATAAAATATAAAGTTTTGTAACTTCTATACATCAACTATATATTTTGTGTGGCCCAAGACAATTCCTCTTTGTGCAATCAGGATCATTAAGGTTGACAAGACCTGTGGAATCATCAAGTCTAGGCCCGCCAAAAGGTTGGACGCCCATGGAATAGACTGTTACTGAATTGATGCTTCACAAAGCCTCGGGTTCTCTGGGATGATGCACACATACATTTTGTATCTCTTTAAAATGTCATTAAGATTCTTAAAATATGGCCCAAGTTGAAGGAAAAAAAATCACATGATATACATCAGTGTAATCACACCACTGAAATGCCAGTGGCATCACGTGCTGCAGAATTATCAGTAAGTGATGTAATTACTACAAATTTCCCACCTCCGTTTCTAAGCACTCCAGTAAAAACCTTTCATTATGAGTTGGCCCTTGGTTCATTCATCAACTTCCTGTGGTTGGTCAGTAGATGTCTAATCATGGTCTGTTTCTATGATGGCAAAACTGAAAAGGAATGTGTTGACATCTTTTACGTGCCCGTGAGCTAGAGCTAATCATAAGGTTTGTTTTTTTAATTGTAGCATATTGTATGGTCACCGCTAGAAGCGGATAGCGATAGCTTTTGTTTTCAAGTATATCAGAATATTGGTAAGAAGTGTGGAAGGAGGAAACAATTGGATGGAGACTGTTTCCATTATTCTTTATGCTACTCTAATTGGTCTCAGTTTTGGAGCAGCTAATTAGAGATGATCATTTACCAAATGCATAGAAATAGAATGGCTGATTACTACTTTAAAAGGATGACTTAGAGTCTAAAATACAGTCATTTCTGATTTACTTATTATTCCTTTAATAAATCAGCTCTTTTTTATTTACATAGGTATTCCACTGAGGTGATTTTTAAAGCACTTCTCGAACTTGCCAGGATTTTTTAAAAGTTGCACATTTCATTGTTAACAGAGGGTGTCAATGGAGAGTGTCAGCACCCTGCGCAGCTTTAATCTGTTGCCTTTGATGTGTAGGTGGCGCCTCAGGTCTCCCGGAGCTGTCCTGTGGGTGAGTGTCCATATGTTTAGCCCACTTCAATATGTTCCGAGAGCTTGGGCCAGCAATGCTTGTATGCTACGTGGCGGACGCGGGAGGTAAAACAGCCATCTGGACTTTGCAGAATCATAGAATAGCCTGGGATGAAAAGGACCACAATGATCATTTAGTTTCAACCCCCCTGCTACGTGCAGGGTTACTAACCACCAGACCAGGCTGCCCAGAGCCACATCCAGCCTGGCCTTGTGTTTTTTGAACTTACCTTCTGGCACTCCTTGTTTGCAGTAGCGGAAAGCCCCACATGTGCTAATCTGATGGTTTACTCTGCAAAGACTGGTTTGGCTTGGTATTTAATGATTGTGATTTCAGATGTCCACTAACAATCTCTTAAAAGGAATGGGAGACAAGACAAGGTTTTCTGAATCCAAAATGTATTCCGGTACTTTTGCTGTGACACAGGAGCACTGGGTGCTTGAAATAGCCATGTTATAATTTTAGAAATGGATTTCTTTGTTAAAGTCTTTATGTCCATTCCCAAAGAAACTGGTGAGCACAAATTTGGATCCAAACAGATGCTGGGACACTGCTGAGCTGAACACTGGCTCTTTGTCACAGAGATCACTTGCTGGGATCAAACCTGTTAATAGAGCCTTGGTTTTTAAGGTAAAGGATTAGTTGCTCTGGGGCAGGTGGCCCACAAAAATTTTTCTTAGTCCCAACACCTTCACACTGACTGCTTGTAGGTATTTTGATGCTGAAATATGGTACAGATGAATGTTTGTAGCCCTCACCAACAGCTGTCCTATTCAGAAACATGGCTCTGCATTCCGAACCCAAACTACTCAAGGGCACCATTTTATATGAAAGTTTCTTGGATGAGGTATGGGAAGGTGTGATACTGAAACTCTGTTCCTTCTGTGTGACCCAGGCTTGCCAGAGCCACTTCTCACTTTATTGGCAGAGCTGAGATCTCTGGCACTGATGAAATGTGCGTACAGATGAGGCATTCCAGCTTTAGTGCAGCTCCTGTACAGCGCTGTGTTCCACAGTACGTGCTAATTCCATGTTTGCAGGGCTTGTCCTGCTTTTGAAGTTCCATCTCCCCTGTCTGTTTCAAAATGTTGGTCACTGTAGGAATTCTTTTTTTCTTGGAGAGACATTCCTGACATTCGTTTTCCTCATCTAACTGCTGCTTTGAAGGAGCGCTGACTGCCACCATGAGTTGCTCCCACATCATCTCTGCCTTTAAGATGCATAAATTCTGGGTACAGAGCTCAGAGGGGCGGATCTGTGCTGCAGTGCTGGTGCTCTGCTGCCATTTCTTATACGTGGGGCATAGCCACGGGGCAAACAGCCCAACCATATGCCCTGTCACCTTGCTCAGATCCTGCTGGAAAGCTGACAGTGTCCCTGTGGTTTCAGCTCTCTGGGGGAGGTATTGGCAAAGCACTACCTTGGTCCTTACAACACTGACACCTCTTCACCTTCTGTTTCCTTGCTGATGGCTTGCCCAGTGCAAAGCAATCCAGAGATTTCTTTGAACAGCCATGAATTTTTCAATAGGTATCTGTCACTTCACTGCTTGGAAAAGCTTTCCCTCTCGCTGTGACAGCCTGAGTATGAGCTCATGGCTTATGCTGATGTGCAATTTCAACATCAATTTCCTAAAGCTTGGTCCAGAAAAATACACCATATCCTATGCTCTCACATTCAGTCACTGTGTGTGAAGTGCAAGGGTCCATGTGTTTGCATCAGGCAGTCAATTCACAGATAATGCAGTAAGTATCAAAAACAACCACTGTGGTCTGCCTGCTGCAGAAGGAGTTGTGCTGCTGCTTGTGGTGCTTTGAGAGCTGAGGGGGAACTGCAGGTTGCCAGAAGCACCTGTGGCTATGGGCTGTTCCTTCAGTTGGCCTCCTTTTGTCTTGAACTATGGATGATTTATTTCATAAAAGATGAGCTTTCAAAGAACATTAATGAGTTGGAGGTAACATTTATGATAGCAGGAGGCAGCTTTGGTGTTCTACAAAAATAGATCTTCCAAGCTGTGCTGGGTAAATGGCAAGTGATTTTTTAGGACCAACAGCTCTGGATTACTTCACAATGATAGGGACTGTGCTGTACAGCAAATACTGCTGCTGGGTCACATCCTTCACATTCTGTGTAGATGCCTTCATTCACCAGAATGAAATGCTCCATAACGTCTGAGTTCAACCCTGGAGGAACCTTTAGGTTCAGGATGTACAAAATTACATTCAGGACTGGCAGAGTGTGGGGGGAGACCAAGGGGAGGTGGGCTCTTTGTTAAATGTGCACATTGTGGGGTGAGTCATAATAGCTATCTTCAGCATCAAGAATTACACAACGTATGAAGGCAGGTCTGAAAGCAATGCCTCTGATTTCGTTATGTTGGCCCAGGATGTCAGAGGTGGATGTTGGTGGTATGGCAGCACAGGTTGAAGCTTCCCATCAATATCCTGTTACATTTCATTGCTGTGTGACAGATGGCAGCAGAGGGGCAATCTGACAGGATGGCATCTGACGTGGAAGCATTGATGAAGCAAAGGGCTGTCACTGAGTTCCTCCATGGGGGAAAAAATGGCCGTTGACATTCATTAGCATTTGCTACATGTTTATAGAGACCAAACAGCAGGTGTTTGAACAGTGATGTGGTAGGTAGTATCAGTGATGAGAACTGGTGTCACCTCTACGAGCCAGAGTCAGAGCAGCAGTCCATGGAGCAGCGACGTGAATTCCCCGTTGCAAAAAAAGTTCAAGGCGAGGATTTGTACGTGGCTGGTTTGGGTGTGCAGTCCTCAACCACATAAGCTATGCCTGCCCGAGCACGTGACAGCTGACTGACTGACTGCACGGTGGGTGACGAATCCGCGTCTTGGCCGCTTCCACTCCTACTGCCCTGAACAACGATGGCTTCCGTTATACTGCAGGAACAAGCGGTGAAAGCCAAGCCGCGCGGGGCTGCGTTAGCCTTTATTTCACACGGAACGTTTCCAGGACTTCTGTTTGCTTACGGGCACGGCAGCACGACGAGAAGAGAACAGGTCCGTAACGGTAGCAGCCAAGGGCTGAGCGCAGCCCGGAGCCGCTCCCCGCGCGGCGCGGTCAGTGCGCGCCTGCGAGGCTCGGGGTGCGCGGCCGCTGCCCGGCGGTCCGGGAATGGAGCGGCTGCCGGTGGACGCGGCGGCCTTGGAGGAGTACGCGGAGTACCGGCGGTGAGAGCGGGGCCCGGCTCTCGGCATCCCGAGGGGAGGGGAGTTCTGGGAAACGCGGGTGGATCGCACCGAAAGTAATGCCTCCCGTTTATTTCCATGGAAACTACAACAGAGCGAGCACAGTAACGGTATTCGATAGAGCAGATTCTCAGCCACAAGGCATTACTTTCCAGTGCGGTCACCACCATCAGCTGTGCGTTGTCGCCCATGATGAACGAGAGCCTGCATGCCACACTCAGAAGAATCTGCAGTGGAGGTGACCCACTGCTTCACAGCCACTGTGGCAAACATCACCGCTAGGAAAACATTGCCCTCACCGCCCATCTTTCATCGGCCCAAACAGAAGGCACCAAGTCTGCACTACCTGATGGGTGTGGTAGGAGTGCCCAGCCAAGATCAGCAGTCTTCTGAATGGGGTGTGGCCTGGCAATATGGTTTTACAAGGTTTTGCAAGGGAAAGGCTGCTTTCTCTGGCCTGACTGGCAGTTTGAGCCTTCAGCTCAGTCAGAGCTCAGAGTTAAAAGTTTGTCCAAGTTCCAGGAAATCCAGAAGGGTCGCCCCTTTCCTGTCCCAAAGGACAGTGCCCATCTCTTTACCTGAAGGCAGTGTCTTGAACATTTTCTTTGATGGGGAATTTGTGTCACCACTCCATGGCCTGCCATCCTGTCTCTAGCTTGTAGCGATGATACGGCATCTCATCACAAGTGATGATGTGATCCAGGAAACTGTCGCCTTCAGCCTCATACTGGTTCCATAGGACCTGACAAACTCCCTCACAGTTGCCACTGCTGAAACGCACCATCACCTTGCTGTGCTCACATCCACTGTTTGGCCTCCGTTACCATTCAGCATGTATTGATGAATGTCAGTGGGTGCCATTTTTTCTTCATGGAGGAGTTGAGTGGCCCACCTTTGCTTCATACACACATCCATGTCAGATGCCATTCTTCAGCCTGCCCCTCCGCTGCCATCTGTCACAAGGCAATGCCACGTAACAGGATATTGGTGGGAATGTTCAACCTGTGCTGCCATACCACCAACATCTGCCTCCGATCCTCCGATGTTGTGGGCCAGGATAATGAAATACTGGGCATCACTGTTATATCACTAATATATTACTAGAATTGTAATACACAACTTCTTGCTTTTACAGCAAAAATACCGTTATGTATTGTTTGATATACTGGGAAACCTTTTACTTTCTCCTTTTTGACTTTTTTATGACATGCTTACAGAATTGTAGGTGATGATGATGGAGGAAAGCTTTTTACCCCTGAGGAATACGAGGAATACAAAAGAAAGGTGCTGCCCATCCGGCTGCAGAACAGGCTGTATGTCAGCTGGAGATCCCCCACGGGCATGGACTGCAAGCTGGTGGGACCAGAGACGCTGTGCTTCTGTACTCACCGGTGGGGTTCTTCGCTTTTTTTTCTGCACCTTTGTGTTCTTTTTACATCAAAGAAATTTACAATTTTCTAGATCCAAATACAGCACAGGCAAGTTAATTTCAGGTCTGTTCTGGAAAATTAGGTTTTGAATCATGAGATTTTTTTTTTTTAATCTAAATCCCAGTAACTTTTGTGCAGGCCAAAACAATTCTGCAGCCATCAATAAATTCAGCTTCAAGGCACAAGTTCTTGTAGAACAGATTGATTGTGCCGGAGTTATCTGTAGGTGGGATTGGTTCCGACATTGTTATCGAAGTGAAACATAATTATCTGTAATATTTATAAAATAGATGGATGTAAATATACCTGATATTAAGTATCTGATTAAACATTAGTAATTAACAGTAATTAAGATAATTAAAGATCCTTCAACTCAGAAGTTGTAAGGTAAATTGTAAGTCTTCTGACGAGTTTTATCACACGTACTAACAAGGTTATAAAAGCTGTTATTTTTGCCCATTTCAGGTATAAACAACACAAAACAGACTACGAAGTGATTCCCAAAGACCGTCCCATCTGTGTGCCGTGCAGAGTGAGCCACTGTCCCTGCCAGTCCTACCACTACGTTCCTCTCAATGGCACGCAGCCCATCCGCTGTAGTTGCAAACACTTTGCTGATCAGCACAGTGCAGCTCCTGGATTTTCCTGCAACTCGTGTAAGTTACCATCAGCTTGCAGCAACCTTCACTTGTGAACTGATTGGGAGCTGTGTCTGCCCAGAGCATTGCTGACGCTGTAACAAAGCAGTTCCTGAAGATACTGATTATTGGTCCAGAAAGGCAAAAGGCAGCAAAATCCCACACAAAAGGTTTGGGAAAACATTCAGGGGAAGCTTTTTGCTTCACTTGATTGAGGTTATTGTAATGAAACAGCAGTAATAACCATAGAAATTAAATAATGCACAAACTTCTTTGGAGCCTCCCATCATATAAGCTGAAGATTTTTTCTTAGATTTCTATAATATTAGTGAATTTCTTTCTTGAAATCTATTTAATATGTACAGTAAAAATCATGATCAGCTTTTGCTGGATGAGGTGAGAATCACATCCTACAGGATTAACATAAAATATTTATGTTATGTTATGACAGCCTTTCATGTGTTTGCTCTGAATAATGTGTAAGACTTAAATGTGCAGTTAGATGGTTCAAAGTGGAACCTTAGAACAAAAGGTTTTAAATAATCATTTATAACTTACACTTTTTCTTGTGTTTCTGAAAAGAGCAGGCACTTCTGAGAGCTTCAGAGATCGCACAGAGAAGGGCTAAGACTTGCTTCAGTGTTGTTTTATTGTACTAGTGCTGCTCTAGCCTAGCTGTCAAACATGGTAGATAAATTAGATGTAATATTAACATTTAAAAAAGTACTGAGTGTATGGTACACACAGTATTTTGTATGAAAATACAGAGTAAGAACTCAATGACTGAAGAGTGCCCAAAATGAAGTAAGCAAGCCCTTCATGATTCTGAGAATGGCTCTACAAAATGACCTGTAACTGAGATTAGTTAGGGGCAGGTCATAAATAGGTTTGTAATGCAGTCCTAAAAGAATAACAAAACATTTGTAGTTCTTGTGCAGAACTCTCTCCAGCAGAGCTTTATGATATTTGGTCTGAGCCTTACTTAGGGCAGATACACCTCTATATCTGTTTCATGCTGTGTTGAAATGAGGCTGAGCAAAGACCAAATCATGTATAACTTCTCTATAGAAGATGTGGCTGGATGCTTTTGCAGTGAAGAAACTCTAGTTTTTGACAAGATCAGTTTGGAGAAATAGCATTTGGTCTGCTGTGAGGTATAAATTCCATTACCATCTCCCTCAAAACATTCATTTATTCGTTAATTAGGTTCCACGTGTTCAGGATTTCACAGCTGCTTTACCTGTGGGTGCGGTCAGCCGACATACGCACATGAAACAGTAGTGGAAACTAAACAAGAGCGGTTAGCCCAGGGAAGGCCAGTTGGGCAGGATGTTCCCTATGCTGCTATGGGAGGACTGACTGGCTTCAGCTCACTGGCAGAAGGCTACATGAGACTTGATGACAGCGGAATAGGTGAGAGCAGCTGGCCTAAGATGAAATTTGAGTGCTCCAACTGGGTATTTTTGTGAAGTAGTCATTCAACAGAGACTTTCAGAGTCTGAATGTGAACTGGATCAAAAGGAGTAGGACTTAAAGACAGACTTTTTTTCAGTAGTCTAAGGACTGCCCTGTCCAACTTCACGTAGTGAAATGATCAAAATGGTGTTCTGTCAATAATTTCAGTGTTCAGCACAGTAGCTTCTAGCTGAATTGCATGTATTTTAAAGATAATTCTGCAACTTCTCTTTTTTTCTAATTTTCATTTTATATTTATGTTAATCCTTTGGCATAATTCTTCCCAGATCTTCCTTTTTTATATTATTCCAACATTAACCCCTCTCCCCCCAGGTAGATCAGTGCCCATTCTGCACACACACACACACACAAAACATCTGGACGTAGAAACCTCTGCTGCTCTGAGGTTTTGTGTCATATAGTAATGGACACATTCTATTCTGATATACTGTTTTATTTATTACGTCCATGCACTCTCTGCTTCTTTTTTCATATTCTGATCTTCTTTCCTGAGTTTGTTGTGGTTTAGAGGCCATACTGTACCTGTATTAACTAAAGAACTGGAGATTTTCATTTCTTTTGAAGCCACTCTCTTTAACGTTTTTCTGCACAGTGTTTGTATGAATCTACACCTTTGTTTTGACACCAGCATCTGTGTTTTTAATGCATCTTGCAAAGTGAATTTTTGTTTTCATTCAACTTTTTTTTTTAACAGGGACTCCTTCTGCTGAGCTGTTAGAATCCCCTGTAACCAGCATGGATCACCCATTTCTAAAGGCATTTCAGGGACCTTCTGGCTCTGCTCGGACCATCTCGCAGCTAGCAGGTGGTATATTAGTAGAATAATACTTCTTACAGTAAATGTATCATATAAAATCTAATTTATTTATGAGTTGTGGAATGTTTAGGGATAAAAATCAAAGTTAAATACTAAAACAAGTCTTGATGCCTGCTTATGTGGAAGTTAGTGCAGTTGTTTAGCTCAGTCCAGTAAGAGTGCCTTCTGCCAGAAAGTCTTTTCTTCATGGAATTAGGAATCAGTTATGCTTGTTTTAGATCCCTTCTTTTGAGAAAGTATTTAGCCATTAATGTCACTGTTGAATTCCTGTTTATCATAGCTGCTAGCCTTAGACTAAAAGGGATACTCATTAGTTCAACTTCTGAGGTTTGTTACTTGCATATCAAGGTGTTTTACTACATCCATACCACATCTCATTTTTAAACTACTTTTGCCAGTACTGTGGAACAGAGAGTATCATCAGTGGGAAAGTTTTCTTGTTTTTTTGTTTTTTTTTTCTCTGTAGGTGGTTCCAGTGCCTCCGCGCAAGTTTCTCATGAAAGGCATTCAGAAGAAGATGACATGGCTTATTTTGAGAAGCGTTATCAGGAGCGGGCAAGTTATTGTATTTATTGCTTAAATTAAATATATTCTCCCAAAGTGATGGCTAAGAAAGTTAAACATCTAATTTAAGTGGCATATAAATGTATTATGTCATCTCTTCGTGCGAAAAACTAGCCTATTAAGGTAAGGTTTGAAATACAATTATGTGCTATTGCAGGATGGTAGTGGTCACTCATGTCTGGATGGTATTTGCCTTAAACAAATGGATTTTTATTGTGTTAACTCTTCATAACACTAATAAAAACTCCTAAAAGCTCAACTGCTGTTACACTTGCTTCTTGCAACAAGAAAACTGTTGGAGCTTTGTGAAACTTTAAGTCATTTTCTTTATTTTGGAAATCATTACAAAATGTGGTCAAACGTTGCAAATATGGGATCTATTTATAGGAGAAAATGTTATCATAACATTCAAATTGCTAAGTCTTTTCTCCATGCCAAGTATTTCTTTTCTCTGCAAGAGTTAGGAGGGATTTCAGTTACAGACCTCACACTCCAAATAAGGAAAGATGTTTTAAAATGAGTTCCTGTGTAGAAGTGTAGACATCTACAGGAATACTTAGCAGTCAGCTTGCTTCTGTACATCCTTTGCTTATTCTTAGTGTTACACAGGGGAAAAAAACATGTTAAAAATATTGTTTTCTTTCTCCCTGCGTTTCTGATAGCTACATGCCCCTTTGGTATAATTGCTCTAAATAGGATCTCATTCACTTTAACATTTTATTTTATGATTTCAGTCACTTTTATATCTTTTATCACTTTTATAATAATACATGAGGAAAACTGTTGCTTCTGAAACCAACAGTTAGATTTGCTTGGACTAATTAATGTCTTACTACAAAATGGATGAGGTGAAATAGGTGTGTGTTGGCAGATCATACCATGCTCTAAGAGCCTACTATGTGGAAAAAACCTGCTGAGAAGAGGTGACTGTGCTGAGCAAGGTGTAGAGATGCAGGTTTAACTTCAGCAACAAAATTTCACTGTGATTTTGTGCATGGCAGTTGTTCTGTGTCTGTTACACTGCTGTAATAAAACACCTGTAATTTTCATTGAGATTAAGATTAATCCATGAACTGAGGGAACACCTGCATTGCCATTATCAGAAATAAAGGCAGTCCTGGCTTGAATAGCAGAGGAGCTGCAGAGCTATGAAAGCACTCCTTTGTCACTTGATTCAAAAGTGAGAACTTCTGGGTTGAACTAAGAATAATCTCTACCTCTCTCTGTCCCATAAATCGCTGCTAAATTTGTGACTGGTTGTAGAGGCTCAATATTGCATTATTAGCCTACTTGCAAATTAACTCTTGAATCACTGTTGTGATTTTCTTTCTAACAGCTGAAAAAGGAGAAGGCTGCTAAAGGAAAAGAGAAAAGTCTGGTGCCATCAAAGAAGCCATGAGTTTAATGAATAAATATTAACTACATGGTTAATCATTTGTTACTTGTTGATTACATGTTAATTACACATTAATTGTTTATTGAAGAATACTTTGTCACTGTACCTATTTGTTTACTTCTTTCTTCCCTTCTTTGTTCAGTTCTGTTCTTTTACCAAAATTAATTTTTAATTATCTTGTAATGAATTTGGTACTTTAATCCAAGTGTTTATAGTTGCTAGAATTGTTATATAAGTATATAAAATTATATAAGTATGGAAAATCATATTTAGAGATTTACAGAACTGTTACTTAAGATCTGAGAAATAAGTGTGTTTTAAAGTACTACATTGCAGCAGGGCAAAGGAAGTATTGTACATCCTGTTCTTAGACTTTTATGATACACTTTATTTACAGAATTGCTAGGACTCATCTTGTTCATGGATTTGTACTCGGTAGTGTTTGTTTTATTAACGCTAGCATTTTAATCATTAAATTGTTCATTTTTCTTTCTGTTGGTTCCGTCTCTGTTGCATAAAATTCAGATGTACCTTTTGTTTCTCACACTTCTCCAGGCTCTGTTCTTCCGATGTATATTTGTTACATCTGAAGTTCCATGTGCTCACAACCCCATTTCCACCCATTCTTACTGGCTAGCTGAAGGGATCCTGCTGTCTGCATAGCAGTGACTGTCAGACTGAACTTTTGACAACATAAAGTGGACATGGATATGCTATTTATTGCACATAAGTAATTACATATCGCTTGATATAAAGGTCTTTATCCAACAGGTTCTCTTTCATCGTGTCTAATGCAAGAGTCCCTCAGGACGGGAGATGTCCATTTGTTTTGTCTGTGCACAGCTGTGGCAGCATGTATTGTACTGAAGGTTGTGGCCATTTGTGTGAAAACTTAAAATTAGGTAACGCTGTGTGGTGCTTTAGGTCTGTTAAGTAGCACAGTGCTGAATACCTGGCTGAGGCTGCAGGATGGTTGGAATTGGGAGGCAAAAATTGTGCCTGAGTTAACTTTGTAGGCTTGCCTGAAAACAGAGATGTAAGGTTGTTTGCCCTTAAGAGCTCTTGAACATGACTCTTGGACTGAAGGTTTTCAGGTGGTATCTGCTGAGACTTTATAGCAAGAGCTGGCAGAAGCTTTAAAAGCTTTGATTCTCATCAGAGAACTGAATGAGGTGCCTGTATGTACCATACTGGCAGAGGAAATCAGGGGAGGTGGAATGCATTTGGGCAACTTCCTTTTCTTCAAACAGCAGCTGTGCAAAAGAAGGAAGGCTCCTGGAAGCGCGTGTGAGTCATACAGTGACTGATGGAGGTGGCTGGATCTGAGTGCAAACAGAATAAAGGCTTGTGACTGCTCTGCACGGCGACGTGTGCTGTGTTGCTGTTACCTTCGTTTAAATGCATTATATATTGAAGTGTATACTGAATGTTTAAAACGGATCTTTACCTTTAAATTCTACACTGTTACATATGGTTTTATCTTAATAAATAAAAATGCTGATTTGAGCTCCCTCTTCTGGTCCTTATAAGCAATCATTTCTATAGTACCTTGCGTGGTTTTGCAGTAGAATTACAAGAAAAAAAAACCCCACGTAGATAACATTTCTAAAAAGTGGCAAATATACAGAAAAAAATAATTTTATTTCTGTTTTTCAATAGATTATTACAAAATAAAGTGAGAAATGTATTCCAACAGTCTTCTATTTATCCCTATAGCTGTAGCCATTGGAGAACGCAGTTCCAGAAATGTATGTGCACATTTCAAAGATAAGATGTATCACAACAATATACTTTACAGGGAGAGGTTTTGATAGTTTCATTTCTCCATTGGAAGAAGGAAAGAAAAAGGGAAAGGGAAAGGGCAGAGGAAGAGGAAAAGGAAAGGGAAGGGGAAAGGGAAAGGGTTGGGGAAAGAGAAAGGCAGTGAAGGGGAGTGAAGGGAAAGGGAAGAGGAAAAAGGAAAAAGGGAAGGAAAGGATTTAAGTTAAAAATACTTGCCAATTTGAAATGCTTGATTTGCCCAAATCCAGTTTTACTGAACTTCACACATCATTAACTCTTTTTTATCCTAGTCAATCTGTTAAAATTTTGTTCCATGCTTAAACACATTTAAAATTTCCAGTATAATGACACTAAAAAGTCATTACATGTAATTGATAATACTTTATAGTTGGAAAATAGTGGGATTTTAAAAATATCAACTGCATTAGATATTGTGTAGGAGTTCTGACCTCTTTTCACCAGTGTTGATGACTTTCAAGTAAAAGCAAGTTGGTTTGCTGCTACAAGGCATACTTTTGACTTCTTGGTACTACACTGTAGAACATCTTGCAGAATTTTTAGTATCCTTGTATGAAAAAATCAGTGAAATATATTTTATAATGTTGCTGGCTGTGAAAACTGGAGACTGCTGTCATGTCTTGTGTGAAATTTGCAGATCAGAACAACTCTCAAAGTAACTAATCCAAAATTATCCTAAAAAAAACCACACAATTTTTGTACTTCTATTAAAAAAAAGGAATTTTGTTAAAGGTAAAAGCAGAGATCAGATGCCAAAGTGTTTGCCACTGACAGCGTTCATGAAAGAGCTCAATTTCATGTGCACTTGTTGACAACTTGTTTCCTGAGAGAGGTCCTGGACTTTGGACGGAATGTTGGAAGGCAGATAAGTTATCACTTCATGATTTATCTGTGTGCGTCTATCTGTCATTCAGCTGCACACATTAACTACTCCTGACTCTGATCCAAGGAATCGGGCAAGGAGATACGGGGATTTGTCGTAATAGAGAGCTCTAACCCGTTCAAATGTAATTGCGTAGGTCTGAGGAAGCACTTAGCCACTATTTGTGTTTAGAATAATTGGCTTTCAAACGAGTATTTGCCATTATTACAGTGCTCAGAGTAGAAGATAATTTTTTTCACTAGTGTTCATCCTCTATGGAAAAACTGAGGTGTAATATTAATGACACTAAAGACTAGCCAGCGATAAGGGAAGGAGAAGGGGTTCCTTCTGATTCTCTGATGCTAAATATAAAATGTGTGTCTTTCTCAGGTTGGGAGGAAGGGAACTGTGTGAATTCACAGCCAGCAATGGTGCAGAATGGTGCAATCAGCGCAGAATTACTTTTGCAAGTTGTCAGAGTCTTTCTCGCACGTCGTGCATATTAAACGGCTCGTTGACAAGTCTGTGTAACGCACCGATCGGGCTGCCCAGGGGAGCGGCGGGCTCACCGTCCCCAGAGGCCTTAAAGAACTGAGTGCGTACGGCACTGAGGGACGTGGCCGGTTGGCACCGTGGGGATGGGCTGGTGGTTGGGCTGGATGATCCTTCCCAAACGTAATGATTCTAATCTAGGATTCTAATGAAAGCAGACCTGCTGCCGCTCCAAAACGAAGCGGTAAACGCGCTCAGCTCTCGCCGCCCTGCCCCAGAGCCTCGCTCCCTCAGCCGCCCCCTACCACGCATGGCAGCCCCGGGGCGCTGTGCGCACGCGCAGGGCCAGCGGCGGGAAACTGCGCGAAAGGCGGCAGCGCGTGCGAGCGCCGAGTCCTCGGCGGTGGCGCCGTGCGGTGGGGCTCCTTGTGGTTAAAAGCGCTGTGAGCTCCTTCAGCGGGGTCCAATTTGTGGGCAAGGTGAGAGCAGAGAGGGGGGCTGAGGGGTGGAGATCTTGCTTTTAGTGGGAGAAGGGTCTTACGGCTGTATGGGTGATGCTGCCTTTTGCTTCAGCTGAAGGGAGTCTGTGGTGTTGCAGGGGCAGTCATGAGTTCTGTCATGGGTGTTTGTGTGGATGAAGGCACGGACAACGGGAAAGGTAATGTGAAGTTTTTCTTCATCAAACAGTGTAATCTTACTCTTGAGAATAGAGTTAGCCTGGTTTTGCCTGGGATTGAGTTTTGCTTCACAGCGTCCGATGTGATGCTGTTGTGACTGCAGGAGAAAAGCAGCGCTGGTAGCACAGCGGTGTTTTGGTTGTTGCTGAGTAGCGCTGCGCCGAGCCACGCACCTGTCAGTTTCTCTGCTTCTCCTGCTGTCCTTCCAGGAGGGGTGGGAGGGAGCAGAACCACAACGGCTGACCTCAGATATTCCCTACCCTGGGGCAATATGAAAAAACCGTAGAACTGAAGAGTTGCTTGCGTGCGGGCTGTCTGGGCATTGGTTGGCAGGTGGTGAGCAGTTGCTTTGTGTACTGCTTGTGTGGTATATTTATGTATTAAGATCATATCCTTTTTTCCTCTGCCTTATTTTTTTTTAATCTCAAACAATGACTTTTTTTTGTTTCCCCCCTGTTTTCTCCCCCACTCCATCGAGAGGTGGGCAGTGAACAAAGGGCTGTGTAGTGCTCAGCTGCTGCTGGGTTAAATCACCACAAATGTTTCATTACTATTTTTTTTTTTCTTCCTCCTTCAAGCTGAGGATGTTGTGGGCTGTCATGTTGAAGATGCCATAACGTTTTGGGCACAGGTGAGTTTAAAAAAGAAGGTTATTCTAGATCTCAGAATCACAAGTGCTGCATCATTTAAAACTGAAATGAATCACTTTTCTAAAAAGTCAAAAATAATTGTCTGTCCATCTGTTTGAACTGTAGCCAGGTTTTCGTAGAATCGCTGTGGTTGGAAGAGATCACTAAGATCAAGTTCAGCCATCAGCCCATCACCACCATGTCCACTAATCCATGTCTCTTAATGCCATATGGATGCGTTTCTTGAACACCTCCAGGGATGGTGACTCTACCACCTCTCTGGGTAGTTTGTTCCACAAATGTTTGGTAGCCGTTTGGTAGCCGTTTGGTTTAAAAAAAAAATAGTTTTTGATATTACCTGCAAAATACTGCAGCAGGCAACAGGAGTACTCCAGGAGGCAGGTTGGGTGTGGGTGAGTGTCTTCTGCTCTGTGGGAACCCATTTCAGCTGAACTGAACAGGGAATTGTTTGAGGCATCAGGTCCCTTCCATTTTAGGCTGTGTGGGCAGGAGGGAGGTGTGAGTAAGATGAAAAGCAGCAGCTTTCATTAATGGGTGCAGAAGGGAGAAGAGAAAACCAGGTGGCTTTGGGTTTACGTGATCTGTTGACTGATGGAGTGTGTGTTAGTCAGCACCTGTCTCACTGTGAGCCCCGTGGGTACAGCAGGCACTGGCCATGTTAATAAGAGCTGGGGGGGGAGAGCAACCTTTGCTTGTACTGTTTATGTAACAGCTTCCTCTTTTAAAAGAGAAGTAGATGTAATAGTTCATTCTCCTTTGCATTCTTACCCTGGTGTTCTGACTCTTGGTTACAGTGTTTTATTTCATATTGCAAAGTGCAGAAGTTAGGAGTGTACTTCTGAGGATGACAGAATGTTTGGCTGCACTGATGTTTTCTTTCAGAGCTCTGAATGTTTTGCTTTGAATTACATGTAAAATTGATGTTGAATGTATATCATGCTATTGGATCTGACCCAGCCTCTCGGTGGTTCACATAACCAAGCTGTAACTAGAAAGTGTCTGCTTTGCTTTGCTAAACCAAAACCTAAACCTTCAAAGTAAGGAGATGAGAGGTATGCTAGGGCTTGGGTTTATGGAGAGAGATACAAAGAACACTGAACATGTACAAAAGTTTGTGAGGTGGGATGGATACGTGGGATCTGTGTATTTCTTGCAGAATCTGGTAATTAAACAGTTAAAAATGCTCTATGTGAACTGTTTATTTGGGATATATTTATCTGCCTCTCCATGAAGTTTTGAAAAATGAGAGCAGGCTTCCAAGTACAATTAAAACCATGAAGTTCTAAAGTTTAAGGTGGGACATTACTCCAGCGGCTGTGCAACTGTTCTGACTTTGTTTTTGGAAGCATCAAGCAGCTATTAAAAATTGCAGTAACTCATGCCCTCTCTCCACACCTAGAATATCAGTAGCTGTAACGACCTCTTGAAATTAAGTTGTGCTCTGGCAGAAGCTTGTCCTCGGGCTCAAGCAGCATTTGGCAAGCTTGATTTTAATAAGGTACGTAGGTTATGCATATATAAAATTTGTTTTTCCCTTGGATGTAAAAGCTTTAATTGAATGCAGCCATTTTCTTTGCTGTCTTATTGGTCTTTATGTTGTGGGTCTGTGTTCTCCAAACCTATTTAAGAACTGCTGTTGGCCCTAACGAAAATGTTTAGTTGTTGTGTGCAAATTTTATTTCTTTCTTCAATTCAAACCTCAATTAAATTAGGCAGCCATGCATGTGTGCATATATACATGGATATGAAATGATGGTTTGTAACTACAGAGCAATGCTTTTCTAGAGAAGGGATTCTTTGCTGCCTCAGAAAGTGTGGAAGATCAGATGAAAATCTGTAGTGCTTAGTGGGCTATACAAAGTGGTGTTAAGAGGATAAGAATACGTTTAGTTGCAGTTTTGTGCAACTTTAGCCTATAAAGAGTGGTAACAACTTTTGTGTGAACTGCTGATGGCTTGCTGCAGAAGAAGATTTAATAAAACAGTTTATCTTTGAGCTGTTTATTGTGTAGGTGAATGGCCGCCT